GAAGCGGATAGAATCGAACGACTGTTGAGAGGTGGCGATAACAGTAACATTGACTCTTGCGACGAACTCGTCGAACATGAAAAATAGTCCGATGAGGATTCGTCTGATGAACCTCTTAAACGTGTGTTTGTCAGCACCAGGTCGTGGCGTTCAGCAATACACTTACAACTGTTTTGATTTATTACTAGACATGTTGAGGATACTCTTTGCTAGTTCAAAATGGGTAGACCGGATAAACGGGCTGGGTCGCGTATTTTTTATCAGTAATTATGAACTCTTAAAATTCAACTGGAAATGTAGCAATGACATTACCGAAATCACGGGAACTTAATAAACAAGTAGATTTAAAGCTTTGTAATTTTCACGATTGTACCAATTGATACCAACGTGACTAACATTGGTCTAGTGTTTGTTAAGTTTATCTTCGATAATAGTCCGCTTTGATCTCCTCCTATTTTTAACATCTGTGTCTTTTTTTCCGGCTTTTACCTTTTTTCTGACGTTCTTGTGACGTTTTGAGCTGTTGTTGAAATGTTTCAGTTCATTTTGTGACCTGCTCGTGATTGTTACATTACTACGAATTGCGTGACTTAGCCAATTTTACCTGTCAAGATAGGCATCATAGTTATTTGTTGTCGTTTTTTGATACATTTTGCAATATACGTGCTTGCTAGTTTGGGCTCAACCTAAGTTTGCAAAACAGCCATCGACATTGCATTTGGAGCTACACAGTTTCATCAGGAGTATCAGAAAGAGAAAATTTAGTTGACATCTTGCAATCAACAGTTTTCCTTTAACATTCAGGTTATGTTTGTATAGATTTGTCACCGATAACTGGAGCAAGAGAGGTATGTGCGACGATGAAGTTGCCTGCGGAAAAGACTAGTTGCCGTTAAAGCGAAAAATACATTGTGATGATAATAACCATAGCACCGAAAAATACAATACCAGCTTAGTTTGACAAAAAGATCGCCTTGTGTAGCACGGTGTAGCAGTAGTGTGTAGTATGGTGCGACCGTGTGATACTCATAATCAAATGTATAATCATGAATTAAACCTGAAATCGAGTCTATCAAGGAAAAATCTTGCTAACGTTCAAGGAATAGGGAAGAATGAATACCAAACAAAATTTAAACAACAATAGTGAATAATTAGAAAAAAACCCGAAGAATGATGAATAATCGAGGTCCATTATTTAGCTTCCAACCCCGAAATATCCAAACTTTCTACTTTCAAACGATCTCAATTCTCAAGTTTTCTGCTACAAGACTGCTACTGACATTATTTATTCGTGTTTTACTAAAATCCCAAGCTATTTCCTGTCAACTTGATTTTAACAGCTGTTTCCCATCATACGTCGATCAAAACTTCTGTAATTTACAACCGCACGCACGCACTGTTTGCTGCACGAATGACACATCACGCAACGTCACAGGATGTTCCAACCCAAACGTGCACGCACAATTTCCCTAAGCAATTCCTTATCTAATTATTTCAGACCATCATTGATTTTCTCTATCACGAACATTCTTACTACAAGTCTGCCATTACCGTGCCACGCTCAATTATAAACCTGATTCTTCAGTAATCCAACTGACATCAAACCCTTAGCTTAATTACTGAATTAGAAAATAGTGTCACTCGATACGCTTACAAGATTATCACGACAGTGTTTTAAGACCTCTATTCCTACTCAAGGATTTCAACGGTTTAGCTATAAATATCCTACTTGTGCCAAAGGTTTACAACGAAAAGACGAAAGTTCACTAAAACTGATAAAAAACTTGCGAAGAACTGATTATAGGGACGCTAAACTCACTTTTATATGCGCGTGGTGACGCTGAAAGGTCCGATTACAAAAACAATAAAAATATAAACAAACAGATAAACATTGTAAGTATCTTCGTACCTAGGATAATAGAAATTATTAAACTAATCAATAATCAACTAAATAAAAATGAGCCTTCTGGCTAGTGTCCTTAACAAATATATATATTAAAAAACCTGAACCTTACTTCTCAAATTTACAAACTTAACATTCGCTACGGTTTGATTCACCGAACTTAAATCCACCGAAAGCACAATAGCCTCAAAACAGACTCACTATACATGATGATTTTAGATCAGTAAACCTTGGGGGTTTTTTTAATTGTTTAAATAAATTTAAACCTTAAGACTACAACTGTCATTTTCAAAGACAGCCCTTCCCATTCCTCACGCATGTCTTTTAGGAAAAATCTTCAATCAGTTTAGGGCTTGAGGAGAGAAGACTGGAAGAGAGAGAGAAGGAAAAACCAAACGATAGGACTTTTCCGCACTGATCGATCCCGGCTAACATCAAGCAATATCGTTAAACATTTGATCATTTTAACTGCTTTATTCAAAAGCTGAAAGATACTATAATTAAAAGAAGAAATGTCGGAATATACACTTCATAACAGAGCTGTACAATCAAGGCTGTGCTCTGAAAGAGTCTAAGTGCCACAGGCCACCAACATTTCAAGGAGCAGACTACCACCAATGTTTGAGAACAAAGCATTCAGGCAACCAGAGATCCTTACAAGAGCACTGTTGGTCTACAAACTTTAGACTAATCCTTACCCCTCCCCCCTCCACACAAGAAGGTCATGCAGGCAATGATCGAACTAGTAAGCTGTAAAAAGCTGCTCTCATCACCATTGCTGTTGTCCATTGCAATCGCAATCTGTTCCACAGGTCTTTCTTTTTTAATTAAGAACAATTGACACTTAAATGTGAAGTAATAAATGTCTCCCTTTTTTTTCCAGGTTAAAGCAATACCTCACTGAAATATTTCTGGTATTGTGAATTAAGGTCGCTCTGCGCTCGATGACCTCATTGTGTAGTGAGGGTGGGGTGGGGCCGGTACTTACTGGTTATGGAAAAATTGTCAGAGACTTACTTCTAAAAAAGCTACAATAACCTCAAACAGTCTCAATGGTATTTTCATCAAAATTAATAGTATGAAAGTACAATATAATAGTATTAATACTTTGAAAGTATGACGTCATTTTCAGAAGTGAGTCTCCCAACTCAACTACCTAAGCACTTTTCAATTGAGTGTCGTGAAACCAAAACCAAAGCAATTAAAACGTCCAATCAGAAGGAAGGAAAATACCTTTGAGAGCTAACGAGAACTCAAAGTAAAAACAACCAAACTGCCTGAGGCACGAAGAGGCCACCAAGTCGTGATTGGTTTTAGTTTAGTACCTGATTGGTTGAGTGGCACGAGTTTCCTGGACAAATCAAACTGCAAAGAAAAGCAGAACCAACACAATTTTGTGTTACTTTTGACACTGAATTGAAAATTGGTCTTATATCCACTAGAATGCACCAGTCTATGGTTACTTTCATGTACAGTGAACTTAGTACTGAACAAGATACCATATATAGTTATTATACTAGTCTTATTATGTACAGATGAGCTTGATTACAAGTTTGTGCTGAAGCACCTATAACAAACATATATCAAATTAATTACCAAGATTTTCACAACAGCCCATTAGCGTCAAACAAAGATAACACTTATGCGTAAGTTCTGTGTCGCGTGATATCAGTAGCTTCCTTCTGAAGTATCAACTTATCAAATTGTAATGGTTTACATCAAGAGAAAATAATGACAGTTTTTTTTCTCTTGTTTACATACAGAATGTAAATACGTGTGGTCCTAAATAACTATTATTAACCACCAGTTTTGCTACAAAAATTTAAAAAATAATCTCGGAAAATTATAAGTACTGAACGTAAAACTTAAGGTTTCCTTATCTGCAGCAAGGCTAACTCTCTGATGCTCTTCGTTTAATTAAATGCAAAATATTTTTGGAATAAATTCGACGCAACCCCCAGGAGACTGTACTTCATCATCACAAGCCAATTTTTGAAACTTTGTTTCTCTTACCCTGATCATAAGAAAGCAGTGGCAAACACGGGGGGAGGGCCCAAGGGGTCTGGACCCCCACCCCCTACTTCATTAGACCTATGGGTATTTTCACTTCTAGTCTGAAGCCAAAATTATTCCAACAACAGGATAGAACTATTCGGCTTGAATGTCTGAAAAATATTAATCTTGAAATACTTCTTAGTTTATTTAGGCTCAAGTGCTAAAAAAAATTTGTTTTATTCAAATCAAAGAGCTTGGACCCTCTTATTACCCCCCCCCCCACCTCACACCCGTGGTCAGTGAGCATGAAATTTATCAAGTGTCATCTCTGACAGAATTAACGTCATAGTTGATATCTAAACATAAATGACATTTCTACTTCGAGAGATAATTTAACTTATGCCCAGTCTTCTTCAGAAAGCGCGCAGCGAGGGAATTGGTGGGGTAAAAGGCACGACGCTTGCGTTGGCCGCCTGCGCTATGAAGAGGATTGGCAAGGGTTAGCTATGGAATAAGAAGAAGTCTGCTATATAAACCGGCCAACTTGCGTTTATGTTGTGTGAACGTTGAAACGGCAAAGAAGTGAATAAAACTGCGGCCCAACATCTCGCTTTCAGGCGACTTGAATTTGCAGATTGACCGTTTGTCTCATTCTATATCTATTGGTATCCTATTCGCGAAACGAAGACCGTGTAAAAATTGAAAAGGCTCGCACCAAAAGACCGAATAGGTTCGCTTGCTGACCACTGTGGCAGCAGAGAGCGGAGAGGGTTTTGGTAAGTCAACAGGATCAAGTCCAGTTATAATTGTGGAGTCACTAAGTTAGGAACACAGCGTAATACGATTTTTCTGTTCCTTTTGTACATGCAAAAAAGGCACCGTGTTTTAAAGCCGGGTAACATTTCGGTACATTGACAAAATACTAATAATTTAGTGCTCTTTGAGTAAGAAAAAAAAACGAGTTTTCCCTTTTTTTGTTTCCTTGAACAGATTTCCTAAGTCTACCTTTCCTTACTCAAGTTTCTATTCACAGATTTCTATGAACGTGTCAAACTTCTTTTCTTTCATTTCACATGAAACCGATTATTTCTTTTGTTTTACTCTAATGGGGAATTAGCGCGCAGCTGGCAAAAAACATTCCACTTGCGCATGTCTGACTTTTGACCTTACTGCACCTTACCCGGTATTGATGTTTCAAATAACTGAATACAATACTAACAGCAATTCGGCCGTTACTCAAAATTGCAAGGGACACAGGATTTTTAAACTCTCCTAAATTGCTCCCCTCTCTTCCAAACTTGCCAATAAACTTACCATTCAGTTCAAATACTTGTACTCTATGATTAAATTCATCACAGACCATCAGGTGTCCTGATTTGTTCACTGCCATACCAGAAGGACTGTGAAACTCCCCGTCCCCACTACCTTTCTTTCCGAACTTGTACTGAGGGTTTCCATTCCTGTCAAATACTTTGATACAATGTTCACCGTTGTCTGACACTATGAGATATCTATCATACTGAATACAGTGCATAGGAGATTCCAAAGAGCCCCGCTTACCTATTTTCATGAGGAACTTTCCATCGGGAGAAAAGATTTTGATTAAGCTGTTTCCTTTATCAGCAACGATCACATTACTGTCACTGTCTACAGATAGACCCCAAGGATCATTCAGGTGTTTATCAAGGCTACCAATCCCACCAAAGGTTTCTATGTACTTATCCCTTCCATCGAAAATCTGAATTTGATGCCAAAAATTCGAGACGAAAATATTCCCATTATTATGAAATGCTATTCCTCTAGGGCTTTTAAATTCTCCCGCTTTGCTACCGTGACGACCAAAAGATCTTAAGTAACCTCCTTCACAGTTAAAGATTTGAATTCTGTAATTGGATAAATCAGCTACGGCAATCTCATCCCTAGCATTTACTGCTACCCCAGAAGGGTGGTTAAACATTTCTAAAGCCGAACCTTTTTCACCGAAAGTTAAAACAGGTTTGAATTGAAATGGTTTTACGACTGCGGTAAAAGGACTTCTACGAACATGTTCCCCGTCAAACTTTACACTCACTTTACACCTTCTTTGATCTTTTTGGAGTCCATCTTCACAGTCATTTATTCCTACTTCCGTCGCGCATTCTCGTGCTCGTTCATCTCTGATTTCCACCGTAACATGGTCACGTTCATTGTAACGCTGTTTTCCACGAATGTTTCTTGGGGTCAAATTTAATTGTGCTTTACGGTTTACAATTCCTTCTTTAATTCCTTTGCCTTCGCAAATGAAATGACTTGCCTCGGTGAGTTGCAAGATTTTTAAAGTTCCAATTTCATGACTTCTGACAGTCTCCGACAGTTTTAGATTTTCCTCGAAAACGAAACCAGCCGGAAGGCTTTTGGTGTCACGGTCAATTGGCTCGATTTGAGGAACTCCTTCAAAAACGGCGGCTAATGATTTCCTTAGTCGAACGATTTCAACGTTACCTCTAAGAGTAAAAAGCTTATCAGCGTTTTCCAGCGCAGATTCTATGGCCCTTATTTGTCGTTGAATTTCGGTTTTTCTCTCCGTTACAAGATCAAGCGATCTGCTCGTTTCTTTCTCCAAGGATGATAGTATATTCTGCTTTTTCGCCTCAATAACGGCCACGAGATTGTCAACAAGTCTTTGAACATCTCTATTTACGTCTTCGCCTTGTTGCATTAGTCTGGCGAACTCTTCATCAAGTTGATTGACGGTTTTCATCTTTGCTTGCAAAATGCATCTCTGCTTTTCAACCAACGACTTCATCTCACTCTTCTGTATTTCTGCCTCTTCCTTGATTAATTTCATATTATGGCCTCCGTGGTCCAATATGACACAAATATGGCAAACTGGCATTTCGCAAGTCTTGCAAAAGTACTTCAGCTCTTCTTTGTTGTGATCTTCCTTAGAACAAAAGTCAGGTCGTTTCATTACATCCTCATAGTCCTTGTCTTGAAATTCTTTAAGCGCCAGGACACGGTGATCTTTGTAGGGTTTCATGATGTTGTGCCCAATTACGCAGTCTTGGCAATAAAATGCACAGCAATGGAAACAATAGGAACTTTCCGAGCTGCTCTTGTCGCAATTTCCACATTTCACTTGGCTGGTTTTACATTCTCTAATTGTCAGCACATCAATCAAGCCGTTCAGATAAAAACTGGTGGGAAGATCTTTCAAATCGCCACTTTCAGGCAGTCTGCTAAGAGCTTGGCACTTCGGGCATCTGATTGTGTCTCGGCCATGGCTTGTTCTGTGCCATTGATTCAAGCAATGCAGACAAAAGCTGTGGAGACATGGGAGTTGTTTTGGATCCGTGTATATGTTAGTGCACACTGGACAAGACACTTCTTCTCGAAGATTATGGAACAACGTTTTAATGTCCATGTTATCCGTCCGGCAAAAGCGAGCGAGCAACTTTCTAAGAAATCAACTTGAAACAATCAAGCCTTGTGACTCTCTCTTTTAGCTATTTTTGGAATCTAAAGCGTGTCATGACAATGTTAAACCAATCACAGCGAAGAAAATCATTCTGATTTGTTTGTCTTCAAGGGCCAGTATATATTCATAGTCTCAAGAATAATTTGCGTAATTTATGATGAAAAATAAATTTAGAGTAATTTATTCATGAAAGTAGAAGTGTGTTTCTCTGCGCACAATGAACCATGTCCATGACACATACACACCCACAAAGGGAGAAAAGACAGGCACCGAAAGATAAGCATGAGAGGCCGCGTCATTTGGGATTTTTGGAAATAGATAACGAGCATACAGGGGTTTTTCTGGAGGAAGGAATCAATACTTGCTTCTGTTCGGGAAATTTACCAGTAATGAACCGTACGATAAATTCCTTGAAGCGACACTAAATGCAACGCGTACAGTTTTAGCAAGGCGGCATAGGAGTCTTATTTTCTTGCTGACAAGCAAGAGCTCCATATTCTGATCGGGCGTCGAAGCCGCCATATTCTATTAGTAAGATCGAGGGAAGCCTGGAGATAGTAAAAAGGCGTGAGTGGGAGAGTGGGGTGATATTGGTTTGTTCGCTCCAGGCTTTCCGCGATCTCTCCTATTCAATATGATAGCTTCAACTCTTGATCCCTATAATGAACAGGTGATCTGGGCTACATAAATATTTACACGGACCTCCCGCTGGAAAAATAAAGGATCATGAACTCTGAGCATCAGGAAGCCATTACCACAAAATTTCGTCACGAAACTATTTATAACGTTTCACAGAATACATTACCGAGGAGTAACTATCCCCAAAACAATTTTCCAAAAAAACAGTTTTTTAATCTGCCATCATGGCTGTTCTTATAAAAAATAAAGGGGACAAGTTTCTGAAGAAACTGTGGTGCTGCGTCGGTGGGAGGGTATAACAGGGTAATTAAGTATTATCAACTGAGTTGATAACGTAAGGTGGCCACCGTAAAGAGTTCAAAATTACCCTGTTCTTATAAAAAGACGGTAACACAAAGCATGTGCAACCTTCTCGTTGCATAGGAAACCGCTGCTTCATTGTGCGTCGTCGCACAGACCATAGAAGCTAAGAGTTCATTTCTTTTCTAAGTTCAATTTCGCCTGGATTCCATCATGCTGATGTTGGGATGCGCTTTTCCTACGCATCGTTCTCTAGATTATGGATTTTCCCGCGCCATTTTGTCTTTAATTTTTGTTATTTCCTGCTGGAGTCTGTCTGGTAAAATGTTAAGGAAACGTACAAAAGTCTACTTTCAAGATTGGTAGGTGTGAAAAAGACATAGTCGCCTCTCTCTGTGAAAATTTCATATCATAATGCATTTAGACTGGAACTATTTAATGCCTGGCTAAGTAATGCAAAGTTATTTTTCTGGTGTTCTTGCAGTTGTCTTTCTAGACCGCAGAGACAAGAAGTATGTCCCAGTCACCCTTACGCTCGGTCTAATTACCTCAGAAACATGTCGGGAACTGGGACTGAATAACAAACTGTCAAATTCGTCAACACTTTGGAGAAAGTTAGTTTGTCACATAAATGAGCCTTTGAGAATGACAAGGATCTAATAAATGTTCAGCACAAACAATTCAAAACTTTTAGAAAAAAGTACCCCACCATGTGCGGCATATATTTCCTGCACTTGTAGCTGGCTGCAAAATTTAAGCCTCAAGTTCTGATGAGTACGTGGCATAGCTATTAATTTATTGAATAAGTAAAATTATTTCGGTCATAAAAGGATATCAGCCTCGTCAAAATCTTCAATTTCTATCACAGCCTCCAGTCTTCCCTCCAATTCACTCAATTTGTCCACTAGATCGTTGTAATCTTGCCGTTGGATGTGTTCTCTTTCTGAGGGCTTGGTAGGCTCAGAAACAGACCCCTTTAAACGTAGAAGTGAAGTCCTTGTCAAGTTTCAGGACAGCTTTTCATAACAACTAGCAACCATTGAACGAAGTTTCGTGCAATATCGTGATATGTGAGACAAAACAAATTAATCGCAATATTTTGTATTGAAAGAGTTCAGTTGTTGTTATAGAGCAATTTGCGATTGAGTCGGTCGAAAGTGAATAGAGATTGCTTTCGTTTTGCTTTACTTCGCTCTGTGATTGGTCCAAAAGACTCGCACGACGCTCGCAACCAATCAGATGCAGAACTAAAACCAATCACGACTTCGTCGCCCGCGTTTTCTCGCGCTTTTAGCAGTTTGTATGTTTTTATTGCCATTCTTCTACGAAGAGCATGGATACAGCTACCATTGAGTGATAATTTGGGACATTGACCGCGTGTTTCTAAAGTGAGCCCCTCTAAGAGTCAAATACCGTGCAGTGTACCTTCACTGTTGTGTCCTCCCGTCGATCTTTGTCCTCAGAGTCATTCACATCTGGTATTGAAATGCCATGCTTTTCACACAAGTCTGATATGAGATTCTAAAAAAGACAACGGTCGTGGTCAAGCCTCCAGTTTTGATCGCGAATGAAAACTGGCTGCTCATGCAAGTCTCGAATCTTCGTTTTTATGGTTACATCGTGCAGTCTTAGTCGGCATCGTTGTTGGTGCATATTAATATAAATCGCGGTGGCCTGGACTCCACTCCGAGTCGTCTTTAGTGTACACTGTATCGAACACAGTGGCTTGGATGGGGGAGGTGGTGACACGTGGGGGAAAAGCGGGGAGGTAACCTGCTATAGATTAGAAAGAATAGGGCGGGGGGGGGAGGTAACCTGCCATGGGGTGGACAAATAGACAGATAACTTTATTTATACACGGTAAAATCTTTCAGCACGTTCTAAGAGAATGAAATGTCTAATTCTGCCCAGCTAAGCTAACTAATAAACTAATACAGTATTTAAAGAATAAAAACCTATCATATCACATAAGGTTACTTTTATAGGATGCCGTATCTCATTCAAAGCCATAATGACGCAGTTTTTGTCTAAATTCGCTTAAAGAAACTGTTGATTGGAGTTCATGAGAAAGGCTATTCCACAACATAGCACCTCTGTAGAAAAAACTTCCTGTAAAGTCGTTGGTGCGGGGTTGTGGAAGAGCCAATTTATTCTCAGAATTCCTCAGTCTGTACGAAGTCATATCATTTCGAGATACAAATAGAGATTGCAGATATTTAGGGGTCAATCCATATAAAGTTTTGTGCATCAAAACAGAGGTGGCTACTAGTCTTTGATGACTAAGTTTCTGCCAGCCTTTTACAGAAGAATAAGCAAAATTGCTAGTCGCTTAATACAATATTTTAACTGTGCATTATGCAGACTTACTTCGCATGTTTTAGCTTCGGTCTCTAGAAAAGCCTTGATCAGACTGTCATCACCGACTCTGTAACGAAGTGACGTTTCCAAGATGTCAAATCAACAGCTTTATCAAAATGAAATTATCACTAGAGACATTTAACATTGAGTCCAACTACGCGTTTACCTCTTAATTTGTTCCTGAAGGACTTGAATCATATCGGATGCTTCCTGTACAATAACCACAGCTAAAAACAAACAAACAAACAAAAAACCAAACAAAAAAGGTTTAGATCAATAGTATATAAAAGACGTTTTTTGTAAGCCAGAGTCATTTTTAGGCTAACCGTCAAAAGGAGTCACAAATTAGTTTTTTGTTTCCTTGTATCGGCCATAGTCGGAGATCGGTTATAGTCGGAGATCGGTTATAGTCGGAGATCGACTATGGTCGGAGATCCATAACGAGCAGGTATTTACCAGGGTATGAGTTTTTGGGCGAGAGAAGAGTAGAATCTTATAGATTGAGGAGAACGGATATGGTTGGAGATCCACAACGAGCCGAATTTTTTATGGGCAGGAGAAGGTTGGCAGAACGAAAGGAGGAAAAAGCGACTGAAAAGACACCCTCCCCTCCCCTTCCACGCCTCGTTACACTAGAATCCAATCCCCTCTAATCCAATCAACACTAAATGACGAATGTGGGTTCAATGTTTGGTTGAGGATAAGAAACAAGAGAGAAAAATCCATCCCACCTAATTGGCTGATAATTGAACAAAGCTCGAAAGAGTTAAACGAAGAGAAAACGAGAGACAACAAAAATTGTACCATTAAGACGCTCTTTTTCATTGATCTCTACTTCCAGGTCCGCGTTCTGTTTTTGCGCTTCTTCTAACAACTTTCCATCTTCTGCAAGTTCCTTCAACAAAGATTCGAGTTTTTCTTGGCTTTCAACTCCCTGTTGCGTCAAAGTTTCACTTTCTTCTTTCAGCCGTTTAGCCTCCTTAAAATTTCTCTCTAAACGAAGAAAGTAATTCAAACACGGAATTTAAGTTGTTCTTGTGTGGCAACTTTTACACTGCAAGTATTAAACACGGGCAAAACAGAGAAATCCAGAGGTGCATTGGTATTGCGTCACTCCGCTTTGTGATTGGTTCAGAAAACTCACACCACCCTCTCCACCAATTGGATGATGACAGAAACTCAATCACGTCTTGGGCAACCGCGTTTTCCCGCGCTTGACACAGTTTTCTTGTTTTTAATTTGAATTTTTCATTGGCTTCCTATGTTGTTGAGATTGCGGTACTCAGTCGAGAAGTGACCTTAGCTGGGTCGTTTTGGTGTCTTTAAGAGTTAGACACATAGCACATCCAGCGCTTAAGGGACAACATTTCATTTCACTCTTATCACCGATTCCCTGCAACCAATCAGCTGCAAGTATTACCAAACGCGACCTGGCCACTGGCGTTTCGCGCGCTATCAACAAGAAGGCCTGATTTATCGTTGAGTTTATCGTGCTTTGATATATTTCCTATGGTCTTAACCCTTTGCACCCTAACATCAGTATGCATATTCTCCATACTGTTCCCTATACGTTCCCTAAGGTGCTGATGAGGAGAATTTGTTTTTATAATCCAGAGCTTCGCTAGTTGATGACTATTTCCTCTATTCTAATAACCTGAATGTTTGATTCAGGGGTGATATTGTCAGGAGAATTTAGATGTCAGTCACTCTTAGGGGTTAAAAGGTTAATTGGCCATAGCGATTCCTTTGGTTCCTGTTCTGTTACGCACACATAACGTTACGCCCACGTTCATATCCTTTACCTTCAATCGCTATTTTTTTGACTGCGTCCAGATCAGAGATCTGGGACTCGATTTCATTCACAGTCTTCCTCAGGGTAACCACGCGTCTTTGCCCCATGTGGATCTTGTTGGTAAAAGTTTTTACCTCCTGGGACACTTCTTTGTGTTTGGCTTCCAGACTAAAATGTATAACAAGAATTAACAGCCTCAATAATAAAAGAATAACTTGAAAAACGTCTATGACAAATAGACTAATCATAATGTTGACAAAAACGTCTTTTTTATGCTTGGTGAATATGGTTGAAGACTGCACAGGAATACCACACCAAAGCCCCAGACCACAGGAGCCCACCTGGGTTACTGTGACACGAAGCTTATCCGGGAGATGGAATTCCAGATTGACCTTTCTCCCCCCTCCCTCCCCCTCCTTCCCCCACATCCTGTCGATTTGCTATTTTGCGAAGTCCTTTAAAACTCTTGTGACAGCCTCAAGGCACATCATCTCACAATTAAAACGTTTGCACATGCGCAGACCCGAAGTACCAAAAAGAAAGGGGGAGGGGGAAAAGTCATACAAAAAAATAACAATATATTGCATACCTTGTTACTTTGGGATCTGTGTCAAAAGTAAAATGTTTCATGTTTAGAAATACTTGAGCAGACTCCTGTTGCCCTTCCAGCTGTTTGATTAATTTTTCGTATTTTTCCAGCTCTTCTGAAGCCTTAGTTATACCATCAGTCAACCTGTGAAATAAATATTAAAAAATAAAAACTTAGTTTAGTGGAAGAGGAGGGAAGTACTGCATGACATTCCTCCTCCCGCACCCCTCCACTACCCCCAAAACAAATGTATATATAATCTATATATGTATATATAAATATGTATCTAACTAACTGCAGACAGTACTGTTTCGGCCTTCTGGGCCTCATCAGTGCAGTGCTGATGCTAGGATGGAGGTAAGGCCATACAGCCACCCCAAGTGATCTCACTAAATATGTATATATATATATATATATATATATATATGTGTGTGTGTGGGGGTTGAGTCTACCTTGGCATAAAGTGCTCAATGCTGTGGTAGCAGAGCTGAGTATATATAAGTGAAAGAATCAAAGAGGACATATCAATTCTCTGTTACTCTGAGTTTTGCGCCTAAGCGCTCATCAGACGGAAACAGAAAGTTCTGTCTGACGAGCGCTTAGGCGTGAAACTCAGAGTAATAGAGAATTGATGCTTCCTCTATGATTCTTTCACTTATATATTTATATATAAACTGAACTATTCTTTGGACTTACTCTTGTTCTTTTCTTTGACTTTCCTCTACTTTGGCATCAAATATTTCTTGACTAGATGACAACAGCCTCTGTGAATTTTCAGTGTGAGAGTTTAGAGTGATTTCAGTTGCAAAAAGAAATATGCAGCATACCAGTAACTTCACTTCTATAGAAAGATCTATTGTCTGCACCAACGTAAATCCAAAATGGAACTTAAAAAAAGATCCTACTGTCACTGCTTTTTTCATTTTTTAGAGGAAATTTGACAGTGACAGATCCAGACATTGAGCATATGGGAGGGGGCCCTGGTTTTTTGTCACTTGCCCCACCGGCTTTTCTACCTTCCACGATTCTTTTCAGCATGGACACAAAATGTTTTTTTGGATTTGTGGAGTGGAACGTTATTTTTTGATTTAATCAAACACAGTGTGAATGGTGCAGCATGGCCATGTGTACAGATAGGGTCATACTATTCTTATTGAACATTAAAGGGAGGTCTGCTCGACAGCCAAAATGGTAATGTGGTAATCCATTTGGAGCGTATCCTTTTTACTGAAGCATGAGATGTTTAGGAGTATTCTGCCCCCCCCCCCCACCCCCCCATGTGTTTTAACTGTTTAACCCCTAAGAGTGACATGCTTCTAATTTCTCCTTACAATATCACCCCTGAATCAAACATTAGGGTCAGGAGAACAAAGGAAATGATCAACAGCTAAAGAAGTTCTTGATCGATAAACAAATTCTCCTTGTCAGCGCCTTAGGAAATGCACAGATAACTGTATGGAGAATGTGGATACTGATGTTAGGGTGTAAAGGGTTCACTCACAAATTCTTCCTGAAGTGACCTCTCTCTTCTTTCTATTTCCTGTTGCTGTTTATCAAGGGCTTGTTGCTGTGGACTGAATTCCAACTTGACAGAGTCTATTTCATTTTCTTGCTCTTTGATGAAAGCTGTTAGCTCTAATTCTTTGGTTCTCAACTTAGCCAGCTTAGCCTCCAGTGATGAGATTTCTGCCTATTACAAATTGAGATATTCTTTGCTTCAATGAACTTTTTTCATTTGCTAACGTTAGAACTATCATCTTATCATCCTCAGGTGAAGACAACAAAGATTGAATGTTCCTATGAGCTATAAAAATATTTGCTATAAAATTGTGGACCAAAGTTCATGATGATAATTAGACAGAGTAACTGATATCAAATATTTCTATGATCATACTCATATATATAATTATATATATATGGTTTGCCAATAATTTTGCTCCCTTGAGCTCATTTCAAAAATGAATTTATGGGAAGCTTAGAGTAGTCAATTTTTTTTCATAGTGTGAATGAAAAAAAACAAAAATTGAAGCTCGTTCACAGTGAAGAACAGGAGAGATGTTCATCTAATGTATGGAGCATGGTGGGTCAAAACAATATGCTGAATGTTCTATTACAAAATTAACTTCAAAAGCTCAAATTTGACAAGTTTTGGAACCCAAGATAACAAACTATTTTTGTCTACACTTTTTCTTTTTTTTTTTTTTTTTTAACTAACCTGCAAGGCTCCCCTCTCTAAAAGCAACCCCTCCTTTTTTGTTTGGAACTCCTCAGTTTTTAGCAGAATTTCTTTACTTAGTCCCACACCCTCTGCCTCCATATGCTCCTTGTCAAGCCTCAGATGATCCATTGTTCTTTCCAGTCTCTGCCGATCAGAATTCAGATGCTGTTTTTCCTTTGCACTCCAGGTAGCCTGAGTATCTGTGTGTCTGACCAGACACTCTTTTTGTTCTTCTCGCACCTCTTCTAGTGTTGTCTGATTTTGTCTGTAAATCTTAACTTCTCTTTCTGTTATTTCAGCTCTCAGCTTCAATGCTTTTTCAACCTTTCAAAATAAAAGCGGATTTGAAAAAGATGGAAGGAAGGCCAAGTGTGGTGGGGGAAGGACAAGTAAGGGGAGGGGGTGGGGAGGAAGTAATAAAAAGGAAGGAAGGGAGGGTAAGGGAAAAGATGGAAGGAGGAGTGAAGGCTGGGTGAGGGGGTGGGGAAGAAGTCATGAGAGGGAGGGATGGGAGGGTGAGAAAAAAGATGGGAAGGGAGAGTGAAGGGAAGGTGAAGGGGTGGGGAGGAAGTGATGAAAAGGAGGGAAGAGAGAGTGGGGGAAAAGACAGGAGGGGCAGTGAACAGCAAGTGAAGGGGGTAGGGAGGAAGTAATGAAAGGAGGGAGGGGAGGGTAAGGGAAAGGATGGGAAGGGAGAGAGAGGAGAGACAGAGAACAGTGAAGAGTGGAAGGTTCACACAACGCTTTCAAATCTGCTACAGAAACTGATTTCTGGTTCTGGCAAACAGCAAAGTCTGCCATATCATAATTACTGGAAGTTTGAATGAGGAGGGATTGAAAAAGCCAAAGTATTTGAAGTAACCTTTTTTCCCTACCTTATCATCTCGAGCTGGTAGCCTATACCTTGCAAATTCCAAATCTTGCTTGAGTTGTTCCATTCTGTTACTGATCTCTTCTGCCAGGTCATAATTGTCACAGGCTAAGGCCTGGCTTTCTTCCATCTGAAGTCGTTTGAATTCTTCTTCTTTTTCATTCTCCACATTGCACAACTCTGTGTAAACCTTTAACAACTCCTCCTCAAGGCTTTTTAGGCACCGTTTGTCTTTACTAAACACGAAAAAAAAAGGATATGAGAGGTTTTTTAGACTCGCTAATCTCCTACTCAAAAGCTTGCACTGAGTATATCTTTCCATAAGATAAAACTCCTCATAAATATTTAATCCAATTTTTCATGGTACCATGAAACCTTTTCATCTTCAAGTTTTCTGTAGTTATTCTCTTTGCTGTTTTCTACAAATTTCTTGCAGTTTTTAGTTCAGGGAATTTGGTTTTACATCATTTAATAATTTCCTAGTTGATGTTTTTCTCTATTCTCATCACCAGTCTGCTTGATATTGTATTGATATTGTTTGGAGAAATTACTTCTTGGTCACTCATGAGAAGTAATTACCCCTTTGACCACAAAGAGTGACCAGTTTCTAATTTCTCCTCACAATATCAGCCCTGAATCACACATTAAGGTCTGGAGAATAAAGGAATTGACAACCAAAAAATAAAACTTGTGATTGTTAAACAAATTCTCCTTGTCAGCACCTTAGGAAATGTATAGAGAACAGTAGGGAGAATATTCATACTACTGTTGGGGTGAAACAGGTTAAAAACTATACAGTGGCTCTTTCATAACTCTGGAATAAGTGACAAAAGTAAAGTACCCCATGTTTTTTTCTGAGTTTGCTAATAATACAAATGGTAGCAGTGCATCTAGGATCAAGTCAAACATAATTGCTTGCACAGGTTCACACTAAGCTGTTTCCACATATCCTATCTAGATACCACCCATACATGATAACCCAGAACTTCACATAATACCTTAGACTTGTAAGTTGAAGTTTCAAGTGAGTCAACAAATTGTTTAGCTTCTTCGAAGGTTCTTCAAGATCTCTCTTTTTCTGATCCATAACGAGTCTTTCTTCTTTAAATTCTACCTCCACATTTTGTTTAACTTGTTCATTTGACCCAGGAGTAAAATGTGAAGTTAGTATTTCACTTTCCACAGCACTGTTAAGAGAGGTTTCCCCAGCAAAGCCTTCATCTATTCTTCTGCCAGATGCCTTAGAAAGATCTTCATCTGAATCCAAATATTTCCCACTTTCAAAAATACTTTCATCTTCTTCTAAACTCTTTGTGTTGTTTGACACCTCTAAGGTTTTGTCTTGTATCTCCATACAAGAAGATTTAGACACAGTTTCCAACTGGTCACTTATAGCATCAATTGGATTAAATTCATCAACAATAATTTTGTCACCCTGGGGTGGAGTTGATGTATTCAAGTCTAAGTCTTTTAAGGATTCTCTGCTGGGAGTTTCTGTAACATTTCCTTCAGTGGTATTGATCTTCATCTCTTCAAACAAATTTTCATCCGAAGATGATGGGGTTCCAATGGAGTACAAGGGCGTGGAAGGCTCACCACTCTCCTCGTCAAGTTTTGTGACTCCTCCTGTTGCCCTTGTCTGATCTAATAAGCAACAAGCATATCCATCAAGGAAGGGGAGACAAGGTAACCTGAATGCTGGGCTGTGGTACAATAAGTAAGTGTTCAAGGGTGAGCTGACTTACTTTGATTCTGAATACTCAAAGTGCCTTTCTCTACCTAAGACTTTGCAATGATTTCAAAAAACTGTTAAGGACACTGAATACTTTCACTCCTTAGATCTCATTCGAAATTCTCCTTACTGTCTACCATACAATCTTCATGATACTGGTTTGGAGAATTTGGCATTGGATCAACTAATAATTCCCCTATTGATATTTTTCTCTATTCTCATCACCTGCCTGCTTGATATTGTATTGATACTGTAAGGAGAAATTCTGTCTTGGTCACTCATAGGAGTGAGAGGGTAAGAGAAACTTCAACTGGTGGAATGAGTTGTCCTTACATTCAAAATAATCTTTCAAGTTGTAAATTTATTGCCAAAAAAAAATACATGACATTCAAATGTAAAATAAGTGTGTAAATCATGTCAAGACCGCCAGGCCTACATTTTAACATTAACAATATCTGCAAACACCTTGATATGTATTTCATTAACTAGTACTCAACAAACATTGTAGCTGAGCTAAAACAAAATACCTTCTTCCACCTTGGATTCCTGTTCAGTTTTACCAACTGTCCCCTCAGCAATCATATCACTTGGCTCACTGGGTTCCCTTAAAATATTGGATAAACAATAACTTTAAGGTGAAAATTAATACTTATATCTATCACAACAGCTATAACTGCTACTACTGCTATTTCTGCCTCAACTTCTGCTGCTACTTCTGTTGCTACTTCTGCTGAAACTTCTGCTGAAACTTTTGCTGCTACCTCTGCTGCAACTTCTGCTGCTACTTCGGCTGCTACTTCTGCTGCTATATCTGCTGCTACTTTTGCTTCATTTTCTGCAGCTACTTCTGCTGCTACTTCTGCTGCTACTTCTGCTGCTACTTCTGCTGCTACTTCTGCTGCTACTTCTGCTGCTACTTCTGCTGCTACTTCTGCTTCAACTTCTGCTGCAACTTCTGCTGCTACTTCTGCCACTGCTTCAGCTGCTACCTCTGCTCCTACTTCTGCTTCTACTTGTGCTGCTACTTCTGCTTCTACTTCAATCTGCTGCTACTTCTGCTTTTACTTCTGCTGTTACTGCAGCTGCTACTTCTGCTGTTGATGGTGCTACTGCTACTGACATTGCTACGGCACTAGCTACTGTTGCTGCCGCTGACACTACTACTACTATAGCTACTTCCATTACCACTAACATTCTAATACTAGTCCTCCTACTACTACTTCTAACAGCACATTAAAACATAACATTAAACTTGAATTTACCCTTTACTGTCAGGTTGTCTGGCATATCCAGGTCTCACAGCATGCCGAGCTCTTTTCTTCTTTGTAGCTGATTGGCTCATCTGCTGTGGAACAACTTTTGGCTGCATTGGCTTGGGTAATAACTCAGCTTCGATGGGTCTTGCTGTAGCAAAATGAAGGAAACCAAAATTAATTTTCTTGTTGACGTGGTCTGAGTTCTCAATGATTATGCCATCGTCACTTAACCCTTTAACTCCCATGAGTGCCCAAGACAGAATTTCTCCTTACAATATCAATGCAATATCAATACAATATCAATACAATATCAATACAATATCAATACAATATCAATACAATATCAATACAATATCAAGCAGACATTAAGTGATGAGAATTAAGCAAGATATCGGTTAGGAGATTATAAGTTGATTCAATACTAAATTCTCCAAACTAACATCCCAAGAACTGTATGGGAGACAGTAAGGAGAATTACTAATGAGATCTTGGGAGTTAAAGGGTTAAAGGAGTGTATTTCTAAAACCACTTAACCCACAATCTGATTTTTAATCCTCCCCTTAAGCTACGAGACATTTCCTTGTATATTGGTAACAAGAATTTTGTGTTAAATCAAGATAACAACTTCTACCTCATAAGTTTGAGTATTCTACTTTCCTGTTGCTAGATAATGTACAGATATCATGGGAAGAAGTTACATGCATGTTAATCACTTAAAAAAGAACACCTTTCTAGTTTATGGTTTTGATTTCCAAGTGTGCCAGGAGTAGTCCACCCTCCTTGTTGACAATGTCCGCATCTCAAAGAAAAGTCAGAGAAAACACAAATTTTCTGTCTTACCAAGAACTGCACCAAAATCTTGTGGATTTTCAATATCTGTTTTGGGTAATTTATCTTGCAGTGAAACATCACCATGACCCATCAGATTGACTTCATCAGAGGAGGTTGTCCTTTCAGCAGGAGCTGCTGTTAGGGTCATGCCACTGAACAACGACCCACTAATAGCACTGTCACCATCATTCTTTTCTCTCTAAGATTAAAATTTAACATAAAATGGTTTCATGAATGAAATAATCAGGGAGTAGGAGTGGCAAGGAGCAGGACAGCTCAAAAACAGAGACTGAGAAACAAGCTCTTATGGAATCATGGGCAAAGCTCTCCTAAAATGTTTTTAACTGCAGTTAAACTTATAAGCAGTCACCCACAGGGAATGGCAGGGTGACTGCTTAACCCTAACATCACTATCTATATTCTCCACACTCTTCTTTAAACAATTCCTTTTATCTGGACAAAGAGAATTTGTTTTATAATCAAAGCATCTTAGGTTGGCGATCATTTTCTTTATTCTCATGATATTAATGAGTGATTCTGCAGTATTACTGTAAGGAGAATTTGGATGCTGGTCACTATTAGGGTTTAAAGGGTTAAAGCAGGTTGACCACTCAACATTGGTTCTGATTGTTAATAATATTCTCCCCTTTAGCTGCTACACATTTCCTTGTGAAATAGTTATGAGAACTTGGCTCTAGATCAAGATAGCAGCTTCTACCTGATAAGTTTGAATGTTCTCATTACCTGTTTGCTGAAGAATGTATGGATATTGTAGGGAGAAGTTTCATGTTAATCACTTCTGGGAGTTAAAGGGTTAATGTACAAAAACTCTCTCAAAAATACAACAAACATTGATTTCTATAGAAAAACATGGATTTTTGTAGTTCTATTTTAGTGGTTCCACTTAAGGTGAGTGTTGAATACAGGCAAAAGACAATATAAACAGGCTGTTGGGACTCAGAGAAGGGTGACCGTGACTGCTTCATAATTCCTTTAAGATCTCATTTGAAATTTTGCTTACTGTCTACCTACACAACTACAGAGAATTTGGTTTTGGATCAACTAATAATTAGCTTACACAAAGTACTGGGTTTAATAACCATACTGCAGCACAAAATATTTACCATGGGCTCCAATTTAACAGTTTTTAAAACTAAATCTTGAATCAAAAAACCTTCATGATCAGTTAAGCAAACTAACAGTGGCAGATTGCAAAAGAACAAGTGTATCACAAGCGACATTGAATTTATGTTGGACAGCTTCATCGTAATGCATCTTTATCACCTCTAAAAACTGAATCTGTGTTGGACAGCTTAACCGTTATGCATCTTTACAACTCTACAAATTGAATTTGTGTTAGACAGCTTCATTGTAATGCATCTTTATCACCTCTACAAATTAAATTTATGTTGGACAGCTTCACCGTTATGCATCTTTATCAACTCTACAAATTGAATTTGTGTTGGACAGCTTCATCGTAATGCATCTTTACCAACTCTACAAATTGAATTTGTGTTGGACAGTTTCACCATTATGCATCTTTATCAACTCTACAAATTGAATTTGTGTTGGACAGCCTCATCGTGATGCATCTTTATCAACTCTACAAACTGAATTTGTGTTGGACAGCTTCATCATAATGAATCTTTATCAACTCTACAAATTGAATTTGTGTTGGACAGCTTAACCGTTATGCATCTTTACAACTCTACAAATTGAATTTGTGTTGGACAGCTTCACCGTTATGCATCTTTATCAATTCTACAAACTGAATTTGTGTCGGACAGCTTCATCATAATGCATCTTTACCAACTCTACAAATTGAATTTGTGTTGGACAGCTTCACTGTTATGCATCTTTATCAACTGTACAAATTGAATTTGTGTTGGACAGCTTCATCGTAATGCATCTTTGCCAACTCTACAAATTGAATTTGTGTTGGACAGCTTTACTGTTATGCATCTTTATCAACTGTACAAATTGAATTTGTGTTGGACAGCTTCATCGTAATGCATCTTTGCCAACTCTACAAATTGAATTTGTGTTGGACAGCTCCACCTCTATACATCTTTATCAACTCTTCAAATCTACTTGGGGAGCTACAAACTGTGGGAGATCCGATAGATAATCGATGTTGTTCGTGTATGAAAAATAAACATCCTAGTTTCAAATTACGAAAAAAGGAATTAAGAAGGAATTTTATTGCTATGGGGACCAGAAAACCTTAATCAGTGACACAACGTTTATAAAAAACACCTCCCTATAAAAGGCATTGGACAACATCTTGCAGCATCTCACACGGAAGTAAATTCATAAATTACACCATGCAAAATCAAAACTACCCACCGAAGTTTCCTGAGAAACATCTCTAGGACCTTGAGACTTTTTATTGTGAGAAGGTGAGGATTTCGCCTTTCTAGATCGTGAAAAGAACGACATATTTGACTTTAAAATAAAAAAATTTCATTTTCAGGTTGAGCCACCATATTGAACATTTAACCTGCGCCTGCAGTTTAGACCGCTTTTACTAGTTCCAGTCTACCTCCAGTCACATCAGCCATTTCGTGTTTTAAGATACTTGGAAAAAATCTGGGATATTAAGTTATCACTTTTTAATTTTTCACTCTTACATTCATTGCACGGGTGAAAACATGAGGTTAAGGTTACCATTAGAATTTCTGACGGATAAAGAGGATATGAGGGGCTTGTCTGAATAGATTAACGCAAATGAACAAAAAATATCGCATTTGTCAAGAGTTAGTTCAGTGAACAGCCTCAGTGGTTCCATCAATTTACTAAAGGAATGGATGAAAAAAAAAATTAAGAGAAAATTTTAAAGAAGCTTCATTTTTCTACATGCTCTATAACTCTTTTCGATTAAATCACCAATAGACAAATTAAATAGTAAAATATTATCTTTATTACTCCAAAAGACAAAGGTACTGGCCTAACTCACAAAAGCTTAAAATATGAAAAAATTCAAACAAAATGGGTGACCAAAATTTTCTTGATCAGTTTATCAGTCTTTATGATAATAAAACTACTATAAATATTTGCTCAACTGGCTCGCCTGTTCGTAAAAAAACCATTACAACTGAGATTTCCAGTCATTATCACAATTTTGTTGGTACAGGCATCCTGCCTGATTATACTTTTGACAAAATGTATTTTGTCATTTGTTAAAATATATGGAAAATAATTGGTCGGGTTAAAAGGAAGCAAGTTAAAAAAATTACGTGCACACCTCCTCTTCTAAATCCCCGTCACAATATTTTTTTTTATTTCGTTCCGGAGTCTTAATTATTAGGGCAGATATAATCTTGCATATTTTCCTTCAAGAACTTGATTGTTCCAGCAATGCCACAAGACATAAAAAATTCATATTTTTTCCTTTATTGAAACCGATTTCTGAACTGGACCGCACGATCTCTTTAAAATGTGTCACTGTTATTTCTAAAGTTCACTGCCTATATCAAAACGATTTTGACTTCAGCGTCACTTCAACGACGTCTTGAAAACAGCCACCGCGCGCCCCTAAGTGTCGTCCTTTTCACTGACACGCAAATTAATGAGTTACTTTCTTTCAGTTCTTTAATGAAGCGATTGTACTTACCACACAATTGTTTCAAGCTTTTTTATAGGAAACGAACTGAAGATATCGTCTTTACCGAAAGCGTTCGATTTTGTTCGAACTGTGTGTTTGTTACCAAGTGATGAAATGAACAAGTCTCGAATTTCGTTTCTTTTTTAATAAATAAGTCAAACTTTTAAAACAACTATGTCGTGGGGGCCAGTAAAAACCGATTATTAGAGGTCTACCACTACACCGCCGCCTAAAGAACCTCTTACCGCCGTTTGTTTCGCCAGCGAGCAGTCTCTCATGTTTGGTTTCGCCTTCGGCCCCCTTTAGGGCACAACTACCTATGAATCATCGACAGCCGCTTTTAGAAAAAGCTATCGAAATCCCTGGATGTTTTGAATTGGTTAAGCACAAATAAGTAACTACTTTTTAACCGTAACTAAAAACCGCACTAATTTCCCATCTCCTGTGTATTTTCCTTTACAAAGAAATGTTTAAAAAGGCCATATCGTCAACTCTTTTACTGAGGTCATAGGATAGCTTTTTGGGTGAATTTCTTAATAAACTGAAATTTTCTATTTTTGTGGTCTGTCACAGTGACAAAAACACGCTTTTCATTTGAGTGTCGTCATACCAAACCTACGCAGTCACAACGGCCAATCAGAAGGAAGGTAGTATCACAAGGAGCCAATCCCGAAGTATGGGAATATATTTGACCTGGAAAACAAGAAAGAAGTCAATGTTTTGCATGTGATTTTCTTAAAGGTGGTGCGACTATTTTTGACCAATGACAAAGCGAGGTTACTGGTAAAACCAGATAGTGATTTACAGGGCGGATCGTATTCCATATTGAACACGACGGGATCTGGAATAAAAAAACAAAGTTTTAAAGAAGGATTAATTGAAAAAACAACAATGTGCCTTTGCCAGCTGATGACAACAATAAAAGAAAAATAGAAGCCGCACTAACAGAGGAATTTTAACGTAATAAAATTGTTGGGGGCGATGTGATACAATCATGTTCTTTGGTTTATTTATAGAAAACCTCTTGAAGCGGTGAATAATGATGGACGACCTGATTTCAAACAAATATGTCGGTGTAAAAGATGGGATGACATAAAGATGATATTACATTATCAGCATTTAAGTCGGGATATTTCAAAGTTTAAGCTATCTTTATTCCATAGAAAAACAATTTATTTTTTGTGGGTAAATTACACAAGTGTCACTTGCGGATTATGATCTGGACAGGTGCGAAACTAAATGAATTCATCTCGTAAGTAGTTCCAAACAGGCTGTGTAAATCAACGTAGTATAGCCTCCATCATCAACATCAGCAATTACTTTCATTGTGATAACGAACTAATATCTTCCTAGAAAGTATAGTAGCAACAAGGCAAAATTATAGGTCACGGCCTTAGCTTTTGTAGAAATTGCATATTACCATAATTCCTATACTTGAAGAATTATATCACAATCAACGAGAAATTGTTTTTTTCCATTGCTTTAATGAAGTCTAGACAGTATGCAAAACCTAGCATGTTATTAAGCAACTTCGTCCGGCCCTCAGAAAACCTCGCCCCGCCCATGTGGGTTGTGTACATGTGTATCGTTAAGAAAACGTGTTGCTTTTTCATTTAGTTTTAACAGCTGTTAGGAGAGACCTAACTGCTAAACTTAAGTTATAAAAATGACAGTCTTAATTTACTGCAAATAACAGAGACGATAGGGCTGTGTTATTAGAACCTGACCATTTGAGTCAAGGAAAATTATGATTAGCGTTTCGACTCGTCACACTGATTAAAAATGCATTTAGTTTGGTTCCATACCCGACAATTGCACAATTGTGTGATGCCTATCTACTACGATTTGGCGCGACTGGCAATAACACCATTAAAACTATCGTACTAATAATGACATTTGACAGCATTTCACTTTACCGAGTGTCTCGTAAGTAATAGGAAGTATAATGGTAGGTAGAAACATGGTTGTGAACGAATTGTAAGTAAAAGATAGAAAAATTAAGTCAACAATAACAGTTGAAAGCACTTGTCATTGAGATTTTCTGACACTCATAAGATAAAGCAATCAACTCTCACAGTGTTTCAGCTCGCCAGGAAAACAGGACTACTGTATTTACTTCTATATTTTTAAGAATTTGATAGCTAAATTGTGTTCGTTCCATGTACAAAATCCTTCCCATATGATGAAATACGCCTTGCGTGCAAGCCATATTTCATGTTATGCTGCAGTCGTCGAACGCAGGTTTTTACTCAGCGGAGAAAAAGGCAAATTTGGGAATCAAAAGGCTTATCCTAATTTGTTTGTTCACCCTGAGAAATCAGAAATATTTTGAAGAAAATTTTCACCTGTTTTTCCACACAAATAGGGCACCTCGTGTGGTTTCTCTTTCTTTCTTGAGAAAGCAACGTTGAAGTGTTTTTAACTCAAAGGCGCTAAAGTAAGATTTAAGATTGAGAACCCCCTCAGTTCTCTTCCTTTACCACGTCTTTTTAGATTTCAAAACAGAAGTATATTGTATCGACGTCTTCACCAATTAATGAAGCGCGTTGGTGAACTTAATTAGCACTTCAGTATGCCTCGTGATTTTCACACAGTCCGGTCTGTCCGAAGTCGTTTGAGCTCAAACATCACACTTGGAGTTTGAGTCAGTGAATACGTCTCCAAGGGATGGTTGTTGGTAAAAAAGGCAGGGGAGTCGATCGGGAAAGTGACATGGCAACATATCTAACGGCATGGTCAGGACTCGATGTTGAGACCTTAACCCAAACCATGTAAAACCGTGAACTCTAGAAAGAGTTAAGCAGAGAAATGATCCTCGCAAGTGGAATGCAATCTTATCAGAATAGAATGGAGTCTTAAAAAAATCAGGCTTTGATCCCATGGGTTCGGGTTCGAATTCATGCCTTCCAGATACTAGTTGGGCACCGTAGCTATAAACCGAGCTAGAAAGTCACACGTTGGGAGTGGGGAAAACTTCAGAGAGATTCTTCTTTCTCGTACAGGAATTTGAGTCAGTCGTTAGCCCTTCGTCAGAGCGATTTGTCTTCATCGTCTAATCGCTCTGACGAAGGGCTAACGCTCGAAACGTCAGCTTTTTTATCCTTTACGGTGGCTAACTTACGTTTTCAACTCAGTTGTTAACACTAAATTACCTGCTTTACTCCTAACCAAGGGTTATATTTGATATCTGTTACAAACAAAATAAAGTCGGATTGTGACACAAAAAAGTGACAGGAAAATGTTTTTTATAGGAGCGTGGGTGAACGATTAAGCGCTGCAATGCCCTTGTTTAAATGAAACCTAGGGCATCCTAATCTATTGACGGAAAAACCCGAAGAGGTCAGGAGCAGGAAGTAACAAGATAAAAGGAAAGTCTTACGTTATATGCATCTTCTTATCCTCTACTTAAATTTCAAGTATAATCTTATCAGAATTAAGTATTTCTTTCAGGTAATCCAGTCTTGCCGACAGATTGTCACAAGTTGGTATCAATTTTAATCGGTTTGTAATTGTACCTTGAGGTTTGCTTATCTAGGTCTGAAAAAATAGCGTCTGTGGTGAAGAACACAATGCATCTCAAGTGAGGCGATTTGATCTCTTTCAAGAAAGGACGCATGCGTGTCTTTTCCATGTACTTGACCTAGATAACCCACGTCAGCCCATTTCAGGAAGGAGAGAGTACTGTTAATTTCACTCGTCATTTAATTTCGCTGCGTAATCTTTGAAATGCTGCGCTTCAACGAATATCAAACTATTCTAACTGAAAAGGTTTTCAATATAAACCAAGACTAAAATACTGCCTAATTATGGATTTTTCTTACAAAAAGGAGCAATGTATATTTCTTTTTTTACCATTTAACTTCATAAAAGAACAATAGCTTCGAAAAATTATTTAGCAGTTCGATCCGATTGGAGTTGAATTTCACCATGGGTCAGGCTTGGTTCAATATCTCAAATTTTTAAGGGAACAATACTATGTCGAAAAATCTCTCTTCTGGAAAATGTATGTCTTCCCGGAAGTTAGACGCCAGAGCAACTAGCAGGAACGATCACAGGAAAAAACCCCTTGATCGATAAAAACATGAGATAAAGTGGAAATTGCAAATGGATTTGTCTGAACAACACTCAAAAAGCTCTCAAGGCGAGAATGCTTGTAATCTGCTCTTATCACTTTTTTTACTTAAAAAAAATTCCTTTCGCATACAGTTTTACTTATTCTTCATTTCAGGTCACTTTAAGTTATCATACAATGCTGAATTTTCAATCATCCTTTCCTCCCTTACTGTCTTCCCAATCTCGCAGCCTCTAGATCTGTCTTTCTTCAACTTAAGTGGAATTCATAACCCCGTGCGGTACGGTCTTGATGTGTTAACAAACTAGGGAGAGCAACATTTTATACAGGTTCGAGTTTCACCGCACTCGATTCCGGTCTTCTTCTGTGGGTTTATATATCCTAAACTTGTTGGTTATTTCACCTATAAGAATGTCATCGCCGGGCATAGGTCGAATATCTGTGCTGTTTCCAGAACGGAATGAGGTGAGCAGAACACCATTTGGGTTCACCGCGCTTCGTTTCTTTAGAGAGCGTTGTTTTCATCTAATTTTCTTTGTTTGTTTCTATTTTCTTCTTATTACCACATGTGGTAAACACTCAAAGCATTTCCGTTTCTCCTAACTTGTGGCTATGCTGAGGATCAGTAGATTGAGAGAAATTCTGACCCAGCTTATCTAATAAGCCATGCGTGAACCCAAGGTAACGAGCAAAAACTACAAATATCGATTGTTGTAAACAATTATGTGCATTTTTCAGGTCACCCCAAACCCGTGAACAGAGCCCCGGAGCTTGACACTTAAAACAAACAATTGGTGAAAGAGTCTTTTGTTTAAGTTGTCACAGGAAGTCACGTTCTCTCCGCGCGGAGCGTGAATGACCTTACGTAGCAGACACCGGGCAGGTGATGTGTACAGACTCGTCTAATAAACGATACAAAGTGATATTATGACTCTCGAAGAGGGTTATTCACGGTCCGTGCATCTTGGGAAAAGGCCAGGGTCTCAAAAAGCACGTTTATCTTTCTCACTTACCCAACTATTTTTCAACACCGTTGATGATGAATACAACACCATTTTTGCGAAACTTACTAAAAAAAAATTATTTGAGGCTATGAAGAAGATTATTCTCAATCAGATTTTGAGAGTTTGGGGATGAACAACAATTTTCCCTAGCGCCAAAAACTACTAAGAACCTTCCTTGGTATGTTCCTGTATGAAAATTGCACGTGTTTTTTCCTTTCGATAAAACCACCGCAATCTGGATATTGATAAAAAAAAAAGTTATTACATACAGCACGAGGGAGTTATTATTGCAAAGGATCTCAAGTTCTCTAACGAAAATTGAATCAAACTAAGTTGACACAACACCCAAACGTTACAAAAGCTGTTCATAACCTAACGACGGTATACATAATCCAAACTTCTTAACAGACAAAATCCAGAGTTCTGGCAAAAATTTTCCGTCAATCGGCGATTCGTGAAATTTTCAAATCTGCAAATTTACAGTCTTGACGTCCTAAGCCATATATCCACAAACATAAACCCTTTCGGCCGCCTTTTCCATAAACATGATGGGAACAAAGTTTGACTGACAAACAATAACACAAACAAAAGCAGGTAAAATATTTATCATAAGAAAAAAAGAACCTGTCAAATGATTTTCCCAGAGGATGCAAACCGATTTCTGAAATTTCTAGTTCAATTCGTTTACCTCAGTACAGAAATTAAAGCAAAATTTCTGAAGCATTTCAAAACTACGTCTCAAAGTTTCAAAGTGTGTTTGCACATTATACCTGATCTTCATACAAAGTAAATAATTTATCCATTTAACCCGTAAAAGACCTGCACCCTAAAACAAAGAAAGATCTTTATGTCTATAGGAGAAAGATAATCGGTGAATAAATGCATTTTTTGTAACCACCACAGACAAACATGAATAACTTCTGCGCATCCAATTTCACGGCAATTACTACAGTTCCACGTCACTTTGCTTAGTTTTGTCTTTGAGTTCAATAGTGTTGGCTTCTTTTCTCACTCTAGCTCTCTCGGTTTTTTAATTTTTTTTAAAATTTTATCATTTTTAACTTGATTAACTCTAGGTTTAGAGGCATTTATTGAGGGTTTTTTATAGTCCTGTAGATAAAAGAACTAAATAAAACTAGAACTTGCGGTTTGGAACAAATCCTTACATACTGTTTTCTCAAGGAAAAAAAAGCGAGATTCGGTAATTTCTTTTAAATCATTTTCAAAAGTGGTCGTTTTAGACTTCATTACGTTGTATGTTTGGATTTATACTGACATTTTATAAACAACATTGACACGTAGGAGGAGAAATACTAAATATGGCTGTTAGACAAACAGGTGTTAAGATTCCCGCCAAATGGCAACAAAGCTTGATTTGTTCGAGTGTATTCCAACAACCTGAGGCAATGGAATCAGAGCTTTGATTTAAAAGTGGATGGCTGGAAAAAAAGTATATTTTCTATTTGAAAATAACGCTATATTTACAACAGTAAAAGATGTCTCCTTGGAATAAAATACAGTTCGATTGCTAAAATGAATCGGTGATCGATGTAGCAGGGATCTTGTCTTTCGGAAAGTAGTAGACGCTATACATTCATTACACATACACGTAGGGTCCGAGTAATTTAAGTTTTTAAAGAAAAAGTTCGTGTATTTGAGAGAAAAATAACGATAAATAGTAATCCCCAAGTACCTCAGCGATATTCAGCTCACTAGACTTGATTTCTGATCCAAGGAAAGCGAGTGGACATTTTTTGTATAAGGTTTTGGAAAATTTTTAAGGCAACCAGATTTTAACGAGTAGGTTCCAACAAATTATTTTGCCAAAGAGGTATTCTTTAGCAAAAAAATATTGAAATAAAAAACATTGGCCTTAGGATATCAGCTTTAAAATCATGTACCCTAGCTAAAGTAGGAAATAAGATTGCATAAACAGTAATTTTGGAACTCGGAAGTTCGTGCACTACAGACGATTGCTGTCGGCCAAATGGTATGAATAATACAGCGTGAAGTGTCACCTGCTGTCTAGAAATGAATTGGTACAAAAACAACATTGGCGTTGACAAGTTAGACGTACTATTGAAGAAAAATGTTAGAAAAGCGATTTCTTGAGGTGCGTCCGCCGCGCCTCACAGGTTCAAAGTAATAAGCACCCTGTGGTGATTTTACTTATCAAGCTGGGTAGAGCTGTGGTTGGCTATTAGAGAACAATTTTTTACCCATTCAGCTACGCTACTGACACAAGGCTAAATTTCATAAACCCATTTTATTCTATCGTGCTGTTTTGTACATTACTCTTTCGCCTCAAATGGCCCTGAAAATTACACGGGATTTCTTGCCGGGGTTAGGCGTCGACCTCGTGTAAAGCGCGCATCAAAATGCTTTGTTGAGAAAACGCAACCTTTTCTCGAGAACTCTCGACAAAACAACATTTTTAAGTACTCTTTGCTCGTCAATAAAATGCAAAGCTATTTTTCTTTTGGTCTCCTTTGTGTGATAACAATGGAAGACTGCTTGTGATTGTTTTAACACAGGAGGGGCGAAGCATAACCCACTTACTTAGGGCCTCAGATCGACGCTAAAGATTAAATCGGTGTGCCAAACCATAAATAGGCAATTCTTTTATTGTTGCAAAATTTAAGCATAAAATAAATTGAATTTTCATTTCAGCTCAGAAACGCTTTAGTTCACATGCAAATTTTTCATGTGACGTTTTACGTAAGTGGTTCACTATCTGACCAATCAGCTTGAGATCTATTGTGTTTGCTCGGTTATTCAGCACGATTTCTTACTTGACATCATGTACATGGTTCGAGGGCGAACGGAAAATATGGCCGCCATTTCTAAACATAGTTACGTCGAATAAGCGCTGTTTGGAGACACAACCAAACAGCTCTTGGCTCGATATTCCACTTTAGTGATCGTAACGTGCTTTAGAACCATAAATCGCTTCGAATTGACGAGAGACCGCGGTTTGAACGCTAGGAAAAGAACACACAGACATAGACGACTGGAATGGCGACGCGTTGATTTGTTATCGTAGACGAAAATATGAGTACAGCGAAGAGAAAGAAGCGAAGCTCGAGGTAAGTTTGTTCATATTTGTACTTTTTTTTATCTTTCTGTAAGAGAATAGGGTGGCGAGAAAAGAGATTTTGAATCCGTGCGCCGTAGCGCGACAATAGTGTTGTGTTCGCATGAATTCGGCTGCACGTCGATTACTATTCTTGAGCGATGCAAAACCAGTTACGTCCTATTCTTTTCGATTACGATTTAACTCTGATAGATGCCACTAATAGTGAGGTCAATCTGTTATTTCATCTGTTCTGGTTTTTGTACCTGGCGTGTATTTAGTCTTTCCTCACTGCAAGGTTAAGAAATTGTATGGCATATGTATACCTCAGCTTTTTCCGGTGTGCATTTCCGAATTGTAGCGTTTGGAACCCCTTCGATCTTCACTCCCCACGAAGCATAAAACTGTAGCTGTTCTCAGCAATGGTATAAACAAACCCCACCAGCCGGCTGAGTTAAATTCACCGTCACGATACTGTGAAGCGACTGTAGAAAAGGGTGGCAGAAAGACAATTTGCATTATTTGACATCGCTACAGACGCTGTGCGCGTACCGCGTGAAACCCGCGAAAAGGGCATCATTTTAGCTCGTTCAATCGTTTTAATTCCAGTTATTCTGCTTTGAAAACTGAACTTCGAGACATTCAGATCACAGGCCTGATCGATTAAACTTCCAATTTTCAATTGTGTTTTCCATGTTGGTGTTTTCGACTCTTAGTTTAAGCTTATATTCGATGCTTTACGCAACGCCCGATAAAGTGCTGTATATCTTATGATGACCTTTGACAGCAACGACATACTTTTACTCTTTTAAAGCAATGAAGTAAACTTGAACGCGCAAAAGGATGAAGCGGTGCTTTAATACCTTGATAAGTAACGACGGCATAAGTTCGTGCTCGGTTTAGTCGCGGCCGATCAAAGAAAGTTGAAAGTCGAGTTTTCTTTTCGGCCCAAAAAAACTGTGAATGGGCTAGTGGGCGATAGAAATTTGCGTTGAAAATCATCGAGTATACCTTCTTCGACAATGCTTTATTTTTTCTTAAATCTTCTGATATAAGATTGTGGAAGTGATTTCGTCAGACCTTTAGAGTTAACTGCAGCGAAATAGCGCTTTTGTTATTTGGAGCCCAGCCCGCCATGTTTGTCTTTCAGAGATTCAGGGTGATCGACCAATTTTAACCCTCGATGCACGAAATCATTTTCTCGCGTCCCGGCCGACATATGAACATGTTTTGTGATGATTTAGATAGTTCAAACCTTGGAGGAACGTTTTGTATAGTTTTTATGGGTATTTGCCTCATATTTTACGCGTATCGAGTCCTTTCATCCTTCGTCTTCGCGGTCATAATAATTTACGACGGGGGAATACATTCTCGAGACAATCTATATTATTCCAAGCGTTTTGTTGCGGTTTTCAACAACCTGTGCTTGACTGTTAAGAACTCCTCGAATTTTCTAACAGAAGCGAAAGGTTTTAGAGTAAATTTTTACAGATAGGGGGTCCATAACAAGAGAAAAAAAGGCGCGCTTACTCATTACCCCTCCAACATTTTTCAAATGTTTGAAGCAATTTACATATTCACCTGGCTGTCAAAATAATTCGTTCTTTTTGTGTTTCATGGATAATACACATGGCCTTTATCTTTGGCGTGTTTCAATTGATTCTTATGCAAATTGTAAATGGAGGTTTAGCTTGGGATGGAAATAGTTATTCCGTGATTCACAACCTATGTTTCTTGTCACGGAGGCTTCGTTTGCCGCAGAGCGCGACTTCAACGTTTTCTAGCCTCCCTAGTGTGTGTGTGTGCTGCTTAAATTCTCATTTTTCCATGGTACTTTAAGGAAAAAATAAACATCTTTTGTTATTTGCTTCTTGATCAATTTTATCTGTTTACGAATTTTCACGTTGAAGGAAAATGGCTGCGGTTTTTGTTTTTTGTAACCCTATTTGTCTAAGCGAGAGGTCGATTTTTTTTTTTCCGAATTGAAAACCATCCTTTTCCTGAGTTTATCATGAAAAGGAAAACCGTTAGATGGACAGGCATCAAGTACCATTAATTATCAAGAGGAAACGTAGTATTTACATACATCGGATTTCGCCGATTTCTCATTTGATTGTTATCAAGATTTCACTCAAGTTCAGATTGCACGACAAATGATTTAGCATTCATCAAGAGCTAAAAATTACTGTACTTTCGGGGATGAGTCTCGAGAATCACTTAATGTTTGACACGTTGGCCATGTGAGAGAATGTGTGTTGACAGCTTAAGGAACAGTACGCTTGAAGAATTTAAATAATTTGGTTCAGCCTCTAGTCTGGCAGCCAGACATTAATTACTTTGGCAAGTGCTCCTTCAGTTACCGAGGTACACTTTCTTGTGGCAAGTTACAATTTTTGTCGTCAGTGAGGTTTCCGCGAGTCGTTTTCACATGTATTCGTACATACCGTGCTTGTACTTGTGACCAAGACAACATAACCACAGCATTATTTTAAGCTTTTAGCCTTCTCGTTTAAGCAGCTTAACCCTAACCCCGAACACATCATCGCAGATGTCTGGGAATTTCCATTTATTTTCATTATTTTTTTTATAAACAATATTCTTAGAATTGTTTTCTTTCCCTTAAAAATATCTGAACTGAATGCAATGTTTGGTAGAACCACTTTCTAAAAAACAATTTTATTACACCAGGCAGTAAAGACTGAATTCAGTTGTTAGACAAGGGTTTTAGCAGCTGTGGAATAGGACTAAGAGTATCTTTGGCCACTGTTTAAAAATAACCTTGGCAATTCAAATTTTGTGAGAGAAAGCTTAGCAAGAGCCAGAGAATTCTCTGATATCTATTAGGCAATGAACAGCCTGAAAGATAAATTGTTTTGGTATTTCTTGATTGATAAATAATTATTGTTTACGTTTTGGTTTTTACGTTTGAAAAAAAATTAAAAAGAAAAAAAGAACTGTCATCCCTTCTTTTTTTTTTTGTCTTTTGCTCACTTAACAGTGGGCATCATTAAGTATTTTGTGCAATTTTCAAATTCATTTAATCCACCCAGGCCTCCTTGAATAGTACATTTATTTTCCAAAAGCAATTAGCCATAGGCAGTAACACATCACATGCAAACTTAACATTTGTGCGAGGATTCTACCACTGACCTTTAGCAAAAGTACTCTTGTGTTTCAAGATATCAAGACAGCTCATACCAAGGAACAAGAGCATAAATTTGTTTTTCTGAAATTTACAAGTCTTTTTTATATTACCAAGCTATTATTAACACAAGAATTTGTTTTAATTTTTCTTTTCAGCCTCAAAGGCTCCTTGAATCCATCTAAACGGCATCGTGATCGTTTTAACATTGAGCTGGATAACCTAGCAAAACTTCTGCCATTTCCCCATGATGTGATCCAGAAATTAGATAAACTGTCCATTCTGAGATTGTCTGCCAGCTACCTCAGAGCAAAAAACTTCTTCAAAGGTGAGGGTACTGGAAACATTGTAATATTATCCAACTTTGTGAATGATATACTCCTGTTCAATTTGACATTTTTTACCTAGTGGTTCTTTGGTCAAAGTTATAAAATGGTTTGTCCATTTGATCCATATTCTTTCTAATGGTATGTGAAGAATTGTACACAGTCAGTTTAGAGAATCACCATTTTGATCTTGGGACATTTATCATGGCCTTTGTTTGATTTTTGCTTTATAGTCAGCTGATTCCAGGTCATTGTAGAATTTAAAAAAATTGCAGGTTTCAAATTTGTGTTTTGTACACAATCTGCTCGAGTAAATTTTTAAATCCTAAAAATGATGCATATGTTAACCTCGTTTGCTTGTTTTGGAAAACTGCAAAATTTTATTCCTGGCAAAAATATCAAATGCTTTCCATCCAAAAAGTAAAAGATGAAAAAACTTTACATTGTAAAGAGTATTATTGAGAAGAGCCAGGTTTACATAACATAAATTTGCATTTCTAGACAAGTTTTTTGTCAAGCAAAAAATGTCCCCTTAATTGTTAAATCTGGTTCTTCAAAAGATATTATTTGCACACTTTTAAGACTATTGCTGACAGTCAAAAGATTAGAAAACTCTGATTTTTCATACAAATTGATGAGAAACGTGGGACAAAAATACTTATTATTGTAATATTTATTGTATGTCGTTGTGAAGAGTTTGGCAATCTCTGGTCAATTTCTGGAATTGGAATATTTGATCATGAAATGTAATTTGTGGAACTAGAGGCAACTAAGGTAGTGGATTCTGCCTAGTATTGTCTAAAGTCCTGATACCAGCCATGCAAGTGTAATCCCAAGGATTTTAAGTGGTTTTTTTTTTCATTTTTTCAACGAAACTACGCATATCTATCTAGATAGTTTGTGAAATGTTAGATGAACCGGCTCAGATATTGGACTTATGGATCAAACCTAAATTTAGTTATTCCTCAACTGAATTCAATTTTTTTAACAGGCCAGCAATGGACAGAGGAAAACAAAGTTGGTAAACTTTCTGATGGACCACCAGATTTTGAAGGCAATGGAATATTTTCTAAGCTTTTACTAGATGTAAGTCCTGTTTTTGTTTAGATCTTAATATGGACAGATATTCAAATATATTTATATTTTTTATGTGAAATGAATATGACTGTTGTTGAAGATATATTAATTATAACACTTCAAGTTAATCTCTGCAAGGGAACTATATGTAAAAATAACATTTGTGGGTAAGGGTTGGTGGTTTTGAATTCTTCTTTCAAAACAGTGAAAATGATATAGTTAAGTATCTATTAAGCACTTGTATCTCGGAAGATAGCCAGATGACCATTCAGTAGAGGTTAACTTAAAAAGAGGTTGGCCAAAATTTAGTGCATTGTGATCCAGAGAGTAATTTGATGACACAATTCACATCTTATCTCAGACAATTACTAACAATGATATGAAATATATTTTAAGTATTTTTAAGCTCACATGTAGCCAACAGATGTTGTGGTGAACAGTCTTGAGTCCAAATAAATCATCTTTGTGCAGTGATTCACTGTACCTTGCTCAGAGCCAACAGGTTTTGATATAACCACAAAGAATGAACTCTTGGTTAACCAAACCAGTCACCTTTCTAAATTTTAATTTGATAAGATGACCGTTCAATAGAGATGGATTTGAATGAAACTTGAGAGAGTGGGTTGTTCAACAGATGTCCAATTTAAATGTACAGTGAATATGTGAAACACATGAAATATGTGGATCAACTGCCTTATGAAAGGTGACCTTGGCTGGTAATATTATGTGCTCTTTGAGTGGTATAATTCAAAATTTAATTTGGCATTTAGGCATGGGAATTTTATATCTACACTTAGTAATGCATTTGGTTATCTTGCTCTGTATCACTGTCTGTAATAAAAAGATTTTTGCATTTTATTTTTCAGGCTTTGGATGGTTTTGTCATTGTGTTGACAAGAGAGTTTGAAGTATTTTATGCATCTGAAACCGTTCAAGATTATCTTGGCCTAGCACAGGTACACCTTACTAGTTACACCTAAGGGCAGTTCTTTAGCTGCCATGAATTGTAATTCAAAGGCCTGTTGTAGCTTACCTTCTCAGAATATTTTCCTTCTTCCCCTGTCCCTGTCAATGTTATTGAATCTCTTCCACCCAAATATACATTCCGATATTTTTTTAGGGGAAAAACATATGGTGATGTACAGTAAAATTAGAATGCATCAGTCTTAGTTTAGTTTAGCCTTAGAAACAAGAGTAATAGTTTCCTAGTTCTTTCAAGATTTTTTTCCATGATTACAGGTGCTACAGGCATCTAACTTTTCTGTTTTGGCAACTTGAATGATAATTTTTCTTATCACAGTGAAAACTTTTTAAGAGCTGTGCATCTTTGACTTCAGGGTTATTAGGTAACTGATGATTCCCCTTAGAGCAGAGCTTTAATGTCTGAGTAAGACTTTTGCCTCTCATTAAAACCTTTTGCTCTAAGTTTTTTTTTCTTTCCTGAAGTTTGTCACCCACTGGCACATTTATGTTTTGATAGTAGTACATTGCTTTTGGCCTGTTTTCTGTAATGAAATCACACCCAAGGCTTAGGAATTTTACTCTGCATGCGGTATACTGCTCTTAATGGTGATGTTGATTGATAAAAATGAAAGTCATGTTACAAAAGGGAAATTTGGAAACTTAAAGATCATTATCTTTTATGTATTTGTATGTTAATAATTTTTTTATTAACAGCTCCAGGTGTTATGAAGCTTTCCTTAGAAATTGTAGCTTGTAGAATTTTGAATCATCAAGTGTTTCATTTTCTGATCATCAATGTGGTAATATAAAGCAGCGAACTATTTATTGTGACCTCCTGTCCCTGAGAGGTTATTTCAAGTTAAGCTAACAACTGCTGAAGTGTGTATATCAATGAGTGAAAGAATTTTGTTAATAGTAACAATTCATCCCATTGTTCTATTTTTCCTCTTTTGACGTCTGAATGATTCATTGATTTTGTAATTAAGTTTTGTCATCAGGTGCATTATCATTCCACAATGTATATTATTATGTTACTACTCACAGGGTTATTTCTGGTTCAGTGGTCTTCATATAAGTTTTCAATGAGCTTTTTCCAGAACTCCTACTCTTGAACTTGAAGGAATGCAATCAATAAACAATAGATTGATTGGACAGTTCTCTTTGGCTTCCTAAAATATCACACAGCTAATTATGTTAAATCTACTAGAGACAGATCAATGTGACAGTTTAAAAAAAGCAACTCTGAAATACAGTTTTATTCCAACTGCACGTGTTAGGATAAAATTTGATCTGCATTATTCTCAAAGGTCCACATTTAAAATTGATGAGAATTTTTGACATTTTTTGTCTTTTATGTGGCTCTCTCACATACCATACATCACCAAGTCATTACATACAGATCTATGGAAGAAAAACTTGTGTTAACCTTTATATAATGGCGTTCATCAAAATATTTTATTCAGCAATTGCTTATATTTTGTGCCTTAAGTCAGTGAAATCTTCTTAATTGTTTTGTACCTTAGCAAGTTACCTGAGTTTTCCATTGCCTTCTATTCTCATCAGTGTTGAAATTTTAGTCAACACATAGGGGCTGTTTACATATGTTTACACCAGCTGTGTAATGTTTCAAGATTCTTTCACGTCCTCTTGAAGCTGAACCCCTCCTCTCCCATATATCAGTGTCAATTTTCCACAGTTGTGTAATTTAAACTCTAAGAATTTAACATTACTCAAGCAGAGTTTATTTTTGTTTTTTTGGTTACAGTATTTCTCATCACCTTTTCATGGGACTTTTTATTGATTTTGAAAGGAGAAATCAGTGGGGGGCAATTACACATGCTAGTTCAAGGGTGAATGAAGGTCAACCGCAGCACGGAAGCTTTTTTTGAATTTTCACTCCTGAAATAACTATTGATTTTTATTTTTGCTTAAAAAGGCTCTAACTATTTTGTCTAACTTCTTCTGCTGCAGTTTGTTATTACCCCTTATGTCTTGGCAGCCTCATCATATTGATGTTTTTTAGAATTATTTTTGATCAACTTTAAGGACAAGGTTTTGGCCACCAATTCTGGATTACTTGCTCAGTGACAATAACCCTTTATCTCTCACAAGTGGTTAACCATTAACTTCTCCCATCATATCCATACACTGTCTAGCAAACAGTTTATGACTCATCTTGATCTAACACCAAATTCTTTGAACTAATTTACAAGGAAATGTGTAGCAGCTAGAGGAGAGAATTAACAATCAGATCTTGGGAGTTTAAGGGTTAGATAGCTGAGAGTACCTCTACTAATAATGTTCGGAGGACAGCAAGAAGGGAAAAAAGGGAATTGTCAACTAGTTCTTTTTGCCAAATATCTTAGAACTCTTTTTTTGTTTTAAATAGAATATGAGAGATAGTAAGTTTTGAGCTCGGTAAAGAAGTGGAGAAAGGTATTTTTTGTCTTATCATTAGTGTTGGAAGAGCATCAGAGTGTGGAATCTGAAGGTCTGAGGTTTGATTCCTCATGAGGACTCGGAATTTTTTCTTTGTCCCATGCTTGTGATTAGACAAAAATACCTTTTCTATTTCTTTACCAAGCTGAAAACTTACCATCTCTCATTATTTCATAAAAATGGTGCTATTGACTTCCCTGATCCTAGCAGTATGCAGGATGTAGGTCATAATTATATGAACTTTGTGATGGGCTTTGCTCATCACCTCTGTGTGGCTTAGTTATAGAGTGTTGGAGCACAGAATCCGAAGGTCTGATGTTTTATTCCTCATGGGGACTCAGAATTTTATTCTTTGTTCCACACTCCTGACAAGACAAAAAGCATCTTTCTCTTTTTTATCTTCTTGCAGTGCAGAAGTCCCAAGTCCACTTGTTATGTAATACTCTGAGAAAGTCTACATGTAACCTGTTTTTTATTCATTTCTTTCTTTCTTTTTCTTTTTTTTTTTTTAATTTATATTTTTTTCAGGCAAGTGTCATACACCAGGACTTTTTAAGATTTATCCATGTTGATGATCATGATCTCATTAGAAAAAATCTTCTCCCTTTCCCTGAAGATGAAGAAGAACAGGTTTGTTTTGTTGTATTTTCCATATTTTTTCTTGCAATGTCTTTAAAATTTTTATTGTAATTCATCAGCTCATTGAATAAGACTGCACAAAAATCTTGTGATGGTATATCACATGGCAGAGTCTCTGTGACTCAGTGACAGTATCAAAGTATGAAATGCAAAGGTCCAAGATTCAATTTCTCACAAGGACTACAATTTTTTTCTTTGTCTAATGCTTATGACAGGACAATAAAAAAAAATTCTCTATATTGCCCTTGTTTTGATTAAATTCTTCATTGTCAAAGCAATATCTAGACTTGGAACCAAGTTTTTAATTCAAAAGAGAATTTTCCTCTGCTTTATCTGTGACAAAACCTAAATTTTAATTGTGGGAAGAGTGAAATGTGGTTTTTCTCTTGAGAGTGTCTTTCCCACTGTATGTTTTTTAGAACAGGTCTCTCTGTTTTCAGAGCGGGTGATGTTTGTAGTGGGAAAAACAGGAAGCAATCGAGAGAATTGTATTTTACCTCATTCATGACAATTCAACTTCAAGCTTAAGTTTTCTCTCTATTTTTTTTTCTTTCTCTTTATAAATTGCACAGTTTACCTGCAGAATTTTCTTTTTACTCTTCAAGCCTTTTTTTTAAATTGGTTCTATATTGCAAAAAGGTTTCCTTTCAAACAAAAACTTATATTGCATTGTACAAAGTACCTCAATTGTGTGACGTGTCTGCGGTTAAAAATAGTGGTTTTGATATTGATATTGTGAAGCACTATGTGTAGAGAGAGGTTTTAGTGCTTTGGTGAATTCAGTAAGTTTAACCTCAGGACTTTTTGGTGATTGGTAAGTTAACATTTTATGATTTTTTTTTTTTAATGTAGAAAATAAGAATTCTTGATGAAGAAAATGATGGGATTGCTTCTGAGACTGGCAGCACATGCAGCTCAGGTATGATGCTGGTTCTTTGTTTTTCTCTTACTTGTGATATTTTACAGTGGGTTTTAAGTGCCCTCATGTCACTTTTTATTTTGATTTTGAAAATAACAAGTTATGGCAGGTTGTCATCTTCAACAAATCAGAATTCTCAACTGGAATCATGCAGATCATATTTCTCTGCAATTTGTAGGGGTTGCAGTATGTTTGAAGTAAATGGCAAAAACTGCAATGTAGGCGGCAAATAGAAGTTCAGTTTTTTAATCTAATATTGATTCAGGGGGAAGGTAGTAGTGATTTCACTTTATATCTATGGAAAATTTTGCCAGTTGCCTGCTCCTGCTGAAACATTTGGATATGATGAGGCTCTCCTAGTAAAATCTACTGGTAACTTGATTTTGTGGTTATGCTCCTATGTAAAATGTCTTTTTTTATGTCAGCAGATGAGCAAGGCAAGGATGTGGAGACAGAGAGGTCTTTTGTTTGCAGAATGAAATGTATTCTAAACACTAGTGCTGGCTTTTTCAAGGTACTTGTCCTTTAATTGAAGCATTGCTTTGATGGCCAATAATAATCATTAAAATGTGAAGTTTTCAGTGTCTGAACAAGATAGCTCATCATTCAAAAGCTTTTCCTCAATTCTGAAGCATGATTCAATTGGCCATTTTACAGCTGTGGATTTTGTTGCCAAGCCTTTGATTTGGAGTGAGGCTGAAGATGAGCATGTTGTGATAGAGTCCAGGTTCTACTTAGCATGAAAACAAAGTACCTTTGAAAGCAGCAATGTCTCTATCATAACAAGGTCATCCTCAGCCTCACTCCTGTTCAAAGGCCTGGCAACTAAACACACAACTGTAAAATAGGCTATTTGAAGGATTGCCCTCAGTCCATTACAATTCACTGGTCTCTCCACCCCTGGGTGAAGAGAGCACTGTGTGAGTAAAGTGTCTTCCTCTAAGAATACAGCACAATTACTTAACTGAGGCCTTTGATCCAGGTTCCAGTGCACCAACGATGCTGCCTCTCTGTCTTCCATTGAAGTACTTGTTGAAATCACTCTATAATCAAAGTACAATTTTGATTTAATTCTTCAGCCATTCAGATGCAGTGGACGTTTACGTGAAATGACACTTCCTGACTGTGAGAGAAGAGAGTATGGGCTGTTTATGATTTGCACTCCTCTGGAAACGGTGTCATCATCAGTGCTTGAAATAAGATTAAAAACATCGCTGTTCTGCACCAAGAACAGAATGGATTTAAGTTTCATGGATATTGACCAAAAGTAAGGAAAACCTACTAAGTATCCATAGAAGGGTTAATATTTTCAATGAAAGACTCGCTGTTACAATAGCACCTTTTAGTTTATACCTTCTGTCGTTGAAACAGACCTTAACAGAATGTTATTCATCAACACAATTCCCAGCAGAGTTTCTTTGACTTGAAAACACTGTGTGATTATCTGTTCTGTTAGGGTGGTGTGATTTCTGCTTTTAGTCATGTTTGATGTGATAACTTCCTCATAAAGGTGTTTGTTAATGTGTGAATTTTTTTCGGTGACAGAGGCCGATCACTTCTTGGTTATCATAAGAGAGACATTGCCTTGCAATCAAGTTACTGTATGATCCATTTTGATGATATTCCAGTCCTGAAGACACTTCATGGTGACTGTAAGTGCTTCAGAAGTTTATTGGTCTAATTCTGCAAGGGTAATTTAGGATTATTAAGGAGGTGATAATGGAAATTGGCCACTGCAAAGAGTTTCAAAGCTTCATCAGAACCCTTCATTCATTTGCTCTGAAGAAGGGCTGACACTTAAAATGTCAGCTTTTAAACTCTTTACTGTGGACAATTTACATCATCAACACCTTGATAATACTGAATTACCCTGTTATACTCTCCCACTGACACACCATAGTTTCCTTAGAAACCTGCCCCTTTATTAATTCTCATAGGATTTGATATGCAATTTTTTTCAAAGGTTAATTGAATGTTAGTGTGTAGACATTGATTCCAGGAGCAATCACTTCATAAGTTATTCAAGCAGTGACCAGAGACATTTTTCCTTATATTATCAATTGTTACACTGTCAACTTAAAAACATGATGAGAAGGAAGAAAACTACTGCATCAGCTTGTGGTTGTAATTCCACATTGTGAGAGCTAAAAGTGTAAGGAATGGATAGAACTGATAGTTAGATCCATGAAAGAGAGACAGGCAATGAGAAGAAGAAAGGAATCTATCAACTTAAGGTTGTAGTACCACATTCTGATGGCTTAACCCTATAACTCCTGTGAGTGACCATGAGAGAATTTTTCCTTACAATATCAATACAATATCAAGCAAACAAGTGATGAGAAAAGGAAAAATATTAATTAGGGGATTATAAGTTGATCTAATGCCATATTCTCCAAACCAACATTACAAGAATTGTATGGCAGACAGTAAGGAGAATTACTAGTGAGATCTTGGTAGTTAAAAGGGCTAAAGGTATATGAAATGGAGATACTAGGAATTGATGATTAATTCTGTGGGAGAGAGAGACAGGTAATGAGAATGAAAAAGTGTTTTCTAAAAGATATTGTTTGTACTCTGTAGACAAGCCAAAAAAAACAAAATGAAATGACATTGCGTTCAGGAAATAGAAGTACCTTTCATATCTTGGGAGTAAAATGACTCCCTAAGCAGCAAGTTGAAGTCACAGAACTTCATGGATTTAATTACTGGTTGATGACTGTTCCTTTTAGTGATGAGCACTGGGAAATGTCAAGGGACCTTCCGTATGCTGAATAAAAACTTAAAGTGGCAATGGCTTACTGGCACTGCACAGGTTGTGTTCAAAGGAAGTGAGCCTGATTTCATTATTACAACAAACAGGCCCTTGAGGTAGAGTGATATTCTGGTTTTTTTTGTTTGTTTGTTTGTTTTTGGTTTTTTGGGTTTTTTGGTGTGGTGGAACCAAAATCAGTGTAATCACAACAATCATAACAAAGGAAATATCATATATCACAGTGCAAAAATCAGGGCACAAAAATCAGGGCACAAAAATCAGGGCACAAAAAATCAGGGCACAAAAAATCAGGGCACAAAAAATCAGGGCACAAAAAAATCAGGACACAAAAATCAGGATACAAAAAATCAGGGCACAAAAAAATCAGGGCACAAAAAAATCAGGGCACAAAAAATCAGGGCACAAAAAAATCAGGGCACAAAAAACCATGGCATAGTGGTGAGAGGGTGTGCCTCCTACCACCACACCACAGGTTTGATTCCTGGACCTGGTGTCATTTGTGCATTTAGTTTGTCATTGGTTCTCTTCCTTATTTCCTTTCTCTTGAAAAACAAACACTCTGAATTCCAATTTGACTTGCAAACAGAGGACAGGAACAGCCACCTTGTGGAATGTCAGCTGCTAAATCCCAGTTGTTATCCCATCCCATTTATAAGGATAAAATGTAGACTCAAGGTGAAAACAAGTAGACTATCTATGAAAATATATCTGCTTGTGACTCTGTTGCTCATTTTTTTTGCAAGAGGTCTCTGTAGGAAACCATCACCACCTATTACAACAGGATTACCGAATTTGTTTACACCACTTTTCACATTTCCTAATTTTTTTTTTTCCAGTGAAGAGGAAGGTGAAGAAATTTTACGACAGAGGGGGGAGTTTCCTGCCTTGCCTTTCACAGCAAGTGATAGTGGCTCACCAAGTCCTCGTAGTCCTAGAAGTCCGGGTAGCATTAGTAATTACAGCAATGGTGGCAGCCCTCTAGGCGTTCCATGGGGAGACTTCTCTGCCACCTCTGACTTCAAATACCCACCTATGCCTGCGTCACATAAGTATTCTTCTACCAATGGTAGAATAAAAAGAAATCGGAATGTTCCTGATGGATTTGTGAAATCTCCTGCCAGTGGTAAGTGTCTAACACTTTTTTTTTAGTTGAAAATCTCCTAAGATTTTGACTAACCATAGGTAGAGTTAAATACTTGTACAATTCTTGTTAGGCTGCTCGATTCCATTTTTTTTCAATAAATCTGCATCTATGATATTTAAAAGGAAGCCCTCCTAGAAACATAAACAAGAAGATACATACAGCCAAACGGATCTTAAACACCAACTCTGTTTAAAATAGTCAACCAGCTGGGTTCCAATATAACTTGAAATTGACTGTTGGCAACCGGACTTTAGGTGCCAGTCACCAGCAGGCTATTAAGATAAAGTAATATCAGTGTTCTTTAAGAAAAGTAGGGCTTAAATATGAAATGACTGTTTTTTTTTTTTTTTTTTTTTTTTTTTTTGGGAGAGGGGGTGCACTCTTGTACATTCAACAAGTGATTGTGTTAGATTTGGAAGCTGAAATAATGAATTTGGTTTAGAAAAAATGTTTCTTAAAACTTTGAGTTTTTTTAACATCATTGTTTGGTTAAAATTTTTTAAATGGTGTTCTTTTTTTGAACTCTTTTCTAAAACAGATCATGATTTCCAGAAAAAAAATGTATTTATGTACATTGTGGCTTTGGGCTCCAAGGAAAACACTTTTTCAGTTTTTCAGTTGATAATAGCATTTTACCCCTTAAATCCATGACGTTATACATAAATGTGGGTTTCTTCTCCACAGCCAACTGCCTGCAATGTTAAGTTATTGCTTTTTTGCTGCTGTGTCATCCATACGTATTGCTGCCAGTCTCGCTGTTGCTGAACGGCAAAATGGGGATGAAAGTTGCTGCTTGTCCCTTTTGTCCCCCTCCCCCACCACCCACCTCCTCTTTGTGGCATTTGTCAGTGAAACCTGCATTCAAAGATGAATTAATTTATTTTGGAATGCTGTTTACTTATGAAATCAGACTTTCAAAGCTTCCCTCTGTATAAAATCGACATAGTAGACATTCCAGAAAATTTATTATGCTTTGCAGGTTTCTCTGCAACTCTTATATATGCGATCAAAATTTGGCTTTTTTTAAAATTGCACTATTTCAATGCATCCACAAGACAGTTAAAATCCTTCTCACCATGTCACATTTCATCTGATTGAAAATGGACACTTTTATGTATTATTTAAATTTAAACAGTGCTTGATTACAGCCAAATTCCTTGGATTATGCTCTGCAATTTGCAAGCTTAACAAACACATTTTTGCTGTTCTGTTCTGACAGTCATTTGTGTGTGAGTTACAAGCCAAGGTAGTAGCTCTGCTTCACCTTCAGAGCTTTTTATTGGAAAGCAAGAAACGCACAACTGAGACTGACTTGGCTTGTTTAAGTGAATTGCAATGACAATGTCTTGCTGATCGTTTATGCCCTCTCTAAATTACTTCACCTGCAGCAGGTGAAACTGGCAGAACAAGATATGCATGATTGTATTCCCTTCTTCTGCTCAGATGATGACCAGAACAAGAAGGAAAAATTAGAAAAAGAACAGAATCCCTCCAAGTTTGCAAGAGGCAAAGCATGATAAAACAAATGTGGCTGTATTATTTGCTTGGCAATTTTTTGCCACCCATCTTAGTTGCTGGCTTTTTTGTCGTTAGGCTCGGCTCCTAATCCCATGCTTCAAGAAGGTGACTTGAATTCGCCGCTGCTGCAGCAGCATCCGTCGTCCCCATTTCTTGCTGATGCTCTTTTGAGTTCCGCTACCTCTTGTACTTCTACACCTATGACTCCCGAGGAGCCTGAGCTCTTCGACCTGGGTGTAGACATACAAGCGGAACTTGAAAAAGACGCTCCTGAACTCAGTGATTTCATGCTTCTTGACCCACAAGGTAAGATGACCTTGTGTTGCACACACACTTTCTTTTTTTCTCTCTCTCTCTGCAACTTTCTTCCTTATCTTCTCACTGCTTGCTTCTCTGTGCTGCATCTTTTGTTTGTTGCAAACCTAAAAAGCATAAGATAAAGTGCCCTTAACCTCTTTTAATGCTAATTAATTTAACTTCTAATCCTAGTTAGTATAAATAATTATTGTTTCTACATGCATAATCTTTAACCTTTAATAGCAAAGCACTGAGTAAAATAAAGGCAGTTTTTCAATGACTTTAAGGTAGTGGCAAATAATTTGTTGCAATAGGGAAAAAAGGCATACTATATATTTGTATTGTCTTTTGTTTACTTGGTCAAACACAAAACTCAACTTGTTAAAACCGAATTGGCTCCCACAACAACTTTTTCAGATTTTCATGTTTGGATAAGTGTTTTTACTCTGCCATTGGAATGCTGCTTTGTTTGTTTGTTTGTTTTCAATGTTATTGTCAGCAGAGATAACTTCAGTTATTATAATTTTGTGTGGGGGAAGTGGTGACCTTGTGGTTACTGTGTTGAACTCTGGGTTTGAAGATCCGGAAAGGTCAGTGTGTTGTGTCCTTGGGCAGAATACTAAACTCTCTTAGGAAATTTCCCCACCCATGAGAATTGATGGGTTTTGGCAATTTGTCAGGGAAGCCTGATGGTATGCTGGGGAGTACACTGGTGATGGAGTATCATCCCATCATGCCAGGGAAACTGGCACAAGCTCCTGTTGTCTGTGTGGTGCACAATGGTGTCTTTGTGTTTTGAGACACAGACAAACAGTTAGACTGAAAGACAAAGAAACTGACATGGGAAGAATCAGGGAATATAAATAATTTGTCTGTAGGATGATTGGAACCAGGTGGTACTTACATTTTTGCGCAATTATAGGAGAACAACAGGGTTGGGGCTAAATTGCTGGGTTGCTCTTATGATAAGGAGAAACTGTATGCATGCACCAGTTCATGTGACAAGCCGAACTTGGTGGAAAAAGAACTGACTCTACACTATTTATCTTTACACAGATTTAGCCTTAAATGATTTTCGTCTTGAGCCATTGGACAATGTTGTTAGTGAAGGCAATCTACAGCAACCAACTCTTAATTGTGTTTGGTTTTTGACAGATTTAACCTTAGAAGATCTTCATCTTGAGCCACTTGACAACACTGGTGGTGGAGGCGATCTACTTCAAGGGATGGATCCACCTACCTACGAGGAAGCACTGTTACTTGCAACAGATTGTCTTTCTATTGCATGTAATAGTGACAGCAATAATTTGACAAGTCCTGATGGAAGCCAACCTTCATTATCTCAATCTCCTCCAAAGAATCTGGAGCATTTTTCTCCTAAAGCTCAAATGGCCCCATCACCATATCCATCGCCAGCTGGTCACCCTTCGCCTCACATGTCGCCAGGTGGCTTACCAACCCCAGACCCCTCCCCTGTTGGGCACTGCAATCCTGCACCAGCAAGAGTCAATATTTCCTGGCAGGGGATGGGTCAGATGAAAGTATCTAAGCCTCCACAAGCCCCTCCTCCTCAAATGCAGTCAAAGTCGGCTCTGATTTCCACAACAATTAAGAAGAAAGAAAGACATGAAATGTATGGTTCCAGCTGCATAACAGGTCAGCAGCACCCAAACCCTATGGTGAGTCCCAGAGGCATGCAGCATGGTGTACAAGGAAACTGGATGCACCAGAATCACCAGAATCAAGTCCAGCAGGCTCCAAGGAACATCCAACAACCACAACAGCAACAACAACACCAATATCCAGATTGGAAAATGCAACAGCATACAATCCAGCAAAGTGCGATGCAAAATTTCGGTGGGCAAAGAACTGCAACAGTCATGGGCACAGAAAATGCAGTTTACGCAACAAACATGCAAGGTGGAAAATGGGACTTGAATGTCCCCCCTTTGTTCGAGGACACTCTACCAACTCTTGAGTATGATGGAGGCCTAGGATATATGAAGACTGCATCACAGCAGAACATGGTCGGCACAGGTCACTTACAACACCATGGATGGGATCCCCAAGTAGACATTTTATCCCCACCATATCAAGAGGACTACCACTCAGGCTTTGGATTTCAAGGAAATCCACTTCCAGCAAATTCCCAAGGTCAAACAACGCTGGGTTGGGGATGAGAAACCTGTTTCAAAAGCTAGTATTACAAACATACTTCTGGCCCTCCCCCCAGGGGATAGGGTAGATTGACAGTCTTCAAAATATACACTAAGAAATGATCCTGGGTAATTCACAGTTTGTACTGGCTGACTTCAGAACCTTTAGGTTTTGCTAAGAATACCTCGCAGAATGTCGCAGTTTTCTGTTCAATGACTACTCAACAGCATGTCATCTAATATTTTAAGACAGAGGCAGGTATTAACACACAGAAAGAGTTTTGCTCTGGGTTGTGGGTCAAAGTGCTGTCTTGCGTATTGAGGAATTTTGGTTTTCACAATTGCTTCCAGTTTGATGAAGTTTATCAGCTGTTCTCAAATATGTTTAGAATATATTCATTGTATTACATTTGAGCACATCATTGTGCTTATCAGGTAGTTAGAATTCCTTGGTGATATCTGTAAATTTCTGTTGGACAGCAGTGTTTATGGTGAAGGTCAGAAATAGGAAAAAAGGACAAGTGTATAAATTTGATTGTATTAGATACAAGTATGAGTAAATCATGAGTTGCATGATCATCAAGGCTGATCTCTACACGGTTTACCTTGATTGCAGTATCTTGGCAAAGGCTTGGACCAAATACAGAAAAATTTGATAAACGTGTGATTTATTTCCTTTCGAACCTCCTATAAATTGGGGCAGTAAACTAGTGACTGAAATCTTGGGGTTTATGAAGTAAACCTGAGGTTTCAGCTCATGAGACGAGTCAAGAAGGTTGTACCTTTTATTTTTATCTTTTTCATTCTTCCATTTGCGTACTATTTTCCTTGTTATTTTACTCAAGGAAACTCATCCAGTTTATACATTTTTCCCCTAAACCCTTTAACTCCCAGAAGTGATTAACAGGTAACCCTAAATTCTTGTAACTAATTGGCAAGGAAATGGGTAGCAGCTAGAGAGGAGAATAACAATCAGTTCTTGAGAGTTAAAAGGGTTGATACAGAAGTAGAGAGCAGTTACCTAAGTAGAACAAGAAATAATTTGAAACTACTTTGCAATCAAGACATTTTTACTCAGATTACAGTTTGTTCACAACTATTTACTTTTCTATGTTATATATTTATGGATGTTTATAGACTTAATAAAGATTTTCTCCCTTAGTTTCAAAGGGGGAAAATGTCTTTTTGCTAAATTTTTCTATTCATTTTTCCAATATTTTCAACTGTACACTTTTTGTATATACAAAGGTACATCCTTCTTGCTCTCCATGCCTTACAAACTGTGATCAGACAAATTTATTCAGTGTCAGGGTTATTTTTGTGTAAATACTCTCAGAGAATTGTCAATAGGGTTTACAGACTTTTTTCGTTTGTTTATGTAATCACCTGCCAGGTGAGATGATTGTAACAAAGTGATTGTAGCAAAAACTGAAATAAATGTGCATATGATCTTAAAGTAGATTAACTTATGTTGACTAGCGATGGATGTGGTGATTTTTTTGTTCCATTCAAGGCTATTGTTTTGCCAAAACCAAGCTCTTAAAATGGAAGAGATTAGAATAAAGGTCACCCTGTTTTTTGTTTTGTTTTAAATCTTTACAGAAAAGGCTGGTAGCCTTTGATGACACATCCTGCAAATTTACATAGAGGCGATGAGAAAGCTTAATTCAAAGGCTTTTATCCAGTGGAATCTGAGGAAATTTAAAACTGTAAACCTTACCACACTGTAAACAGCGATGCCTAAACGATCTTTTTAAGAGCTTGGGTTTGAGCAAGAGAGAATTTCTATCACCCGTCACTATATTTTTTAATTGGCTGTAAAATGCTAGTAAGGCCGAGTGATACAATCAGGCTAAAAATTGTAGACTTACTAGTAGGTCTTAAGTTTTAGGTATTAGCTTAGTAGAGTATATTTCGTGTAGATTACTATATAGTATGATCAGATGGGTTATGTGTCAATATGCTATTAAATGTTGCCAATAAACAGCACTTCAAAACGTGGTTGAATTCCTTTCGTCATCCTCAACAGTAATCAGTACTTTGACTGGAAATATCTGAAGATCACATATGCACATGACGGTGAAGAAATGGAATATAAGCGATCCTCGCAGCTATAAACACTACTGAACTAGTAGTTGAAATGAGACCTGAAACCTACTTTGTTTTTTTTCTTTTCGTGTGTGTGCGTGTGTGCGTGTGTGCGTGTGTGCGTGTGTGCGTGTGTGCGTGTGTGCGCGCCCTTAAGCTTCTCCCTTTTTTTGTTTATCCACACAGTGTAACCCCAAACTTTTTTGGTATATGTTGTGTGACATCCCAAAGAATGGCTGTGGATGAGATAAAGAACTAGGAAAGAAAATGTATTAAGGTGGGTTATGAACCTCTTGCAGGACTGCCTCTGGTTTTAATGGCACATCTGCTTAACCCTTTAACTCCCAAGATCTGATCGTGTTAATTCTTCCCACTAGCTGCTACACATTTCCTTGCAAATTAGTTATGAGAACTTGGATAGCAGCCTCTACCTGATAAGTTTGAGTATTCTCATTACCTGTTTGCTGAATAATGTAGAGATATTATAGGGATGTTCATGCCAATCGCAACTGGGAGTTGTCCCTTTGTATTTATATTCTCCTCACTGTTTACTTTACATCTCTTATGGCACTGGTAAAGAGAATTTGATTGACTATCAGTAGCTTCTGGAATTGGAGGTTATTTCCTTTATTCTCATGACCTTAACCCTTTAACACCCAGATCAAATTTGTAATTCTCATTACTATTAACTATACAGTTCTTATAATGTTAGTTCAGAGAAATTAGTATTGGATCGACTAATTATCCCCAAATTGATATATTTCTTTATTCTCACCACTTGCCTGCTTGATATTATATTGATACTGTAAGGAGAAATTCTGTTTTGGTCACTCATGGGAGTTCAAGGGTTAATATGGTTAAAGAGTTGAGTGCATCAAAACCACTGACTGCTCAGCCTACTTGATAGCATCTTTGTTTTTTTTTATTTCCATCAGAAATCTCTCATCTCTTTCTCTCTCAGAATAAGGTAAATACCTTGGAATGTAGTAGCTTGTTTTGGTTGGTGGCCTTTTGTAGCATGTATTTCTAGAATTTCATTAAATCATTTTCTTTTAACCATTCCATCAAGTGGCCCTCAAAATGGTTCTATGTGCAGAAGTACTGAATCAGATCACAATTTCGCTGCAATACATCTATTGCCAAACAGAAGAAGCTCAACAAGTCAACCTCGACCTTGTTACGAGGTCTTTTTTCCTTCCCTCCATTCCCCCCCCCCCCTCATGTTGAACAGCATCAGGAAGAGAGACATTGGGTACAAGGTTGAATAAATGTGTTTGTCCTCAGAAAGGATACAGGGTAGTATTAAGCATTCTTTTGTTCCAGGACTAAATTAAACCTTTAAGTTCCATGAGTGACGAAGACAAAATTTCTTCCTACAATATCAGTACAATATCAAACAGACAAGTGATGAGAATAAAGAAAATACCAGTCAGGAGATTGTAAGTTGATCCAAAACCAAATTCTTCAAACTAACATCACAAGAACTGTATGACAGACAGAAAGGAGAATTACCAATAAGATCTTGGGAGTTAAAGGATTAAGAAAGGAGTGAAACGAGTGAAGGAAAAATGTTTAAGATTGGTTTCCACACTTTTCTTGCTAATAATTTTAACCCTTCAACTCCCAGATCAAATTTGTAATTCTCCTTACAGTCAACCATGTAATTTATATAATGTTAGTTCAGAGAATTTAGTATTGGATCAACTCATTATCCCCAAATTGATATTTCTCTTTATTCTCAGCACTTATCTGGTTTATATTATATTAATATTGTAGGGAGTAATTCTGTCTTGATCACTCATGGGAGATAAAGGGTTAAAAGTGGCTGCAAATGGTAGAACAGATGGCTGAGACCACTAAAATGTTGACTGAAGTCAGCCCAGTCTTCATGCAGTTAAGTTTGTGCCATTTTGGTTACGTGACCAGGATGTTGTGCTTAGCATGGTCGTAAAGTTTGTTGTAACCCTTTGAGCGCTAAGAGCAACTAACATCTTATTTCTCCTTACAACACCACCCCTTAATCAAACAATAAGGTCATGAGAATAAAGGAAATGATCACCAGCTAAAGAAGCTCTTTATTGTTGAACAAATCCTCCTTGTCAGAACCCAAGGAAATGTCTAGGGAGTTGTGTAGAGAATATGCATACAGATGTTATGGAGTAGCCGGCCAAGGCTGGACAAGTTTATGGTTTCCGTTGTGAGGTCAGCTAAGTCTACCAGCCACGACTACAATGGTTTGTCTAATCTATGTAGTTACAAAGGTCCATAAAAGTCTTTGTAATACAATCTTCTCAGATTGCTTCATGAGTACTGGACTGCGAGGATCTAACCTCAATTGATCATCTTGGGTTTTCAGACAGATCCTGTAAATTAATTAACTCTTTAACCCCTAAAAGTAACTAGAATCCTATTTCTCCTTACATTATCTCCTCTGAATCAAGCAGTTAGGTCATGAGAATAAAGGGCACGATCATCAACTAAAGAAGCTCTTCATTGTTACACAAATTCTCCTTGTCAGCACCTAAGGAAATGTAAAGTATAGAGAATATCCATGCTGATGTTAGGGTGAAAAGGTTTAATAGAATACGAGGTAAGAAACTGAAAGAGTTTTATTCTTTATTGAGGTTCCTATAAGTACTTGATTTACAATAAAATATGTAAAAGAAAACAAGTTACATTCACATTACTGCAAGACAGTATCAATTGGACATTAAGATCTTGTGACGTCTAACTGAAATTTGAAAGGTAGATTGCATTTGTGGTCATCAGTTATCCGCGTGTATATTTTCCCCAGATGTGAAGCATGAAGACTGAAGCAATGAACAATAAACTCATGACCAACACAGGAACAGGGCCACTGATGGGAAGAAAGAAAACCCAAGTTAAAAAGTAATAAATATTTAAGAAGAGCAACTTTAAAACCTTGGTCCATCACCAAAATACAACAAAACTGTTACATAAGGGCCTATTTACACAGTACGACTTTGTCGCATGCGACAAGCTTACGACACGAATTGTTTCGTGTAAATCAAACCTACAACTCACTTATGACTCTTAAGTCATGTCGTAGGCCTGTCATAAGCTTGTCGCATGCGACAAAGTCGTGCCGTGTAAATAGGCCTAAAGAAATACACTGAAAAACCGAGAGAATTTCAATTTCCTTCTTTAAAGTTGCTCTCAATGACTAAACTGATCTGCAAGCTGTTCACCATTACATTGCCTTGAAGATTTTTTTCAAGGTGAGTTATCAAGCAGACATGTCAGAAAACACAATACATTGTGCTATCCTTGAGATCATCACACATTGCTGTTCACCCATGGCTTTAACTCCCAAGATCTCATTAGTAATTCTCCCCCATACAGTTCTTATAATGTTGGTTTTGAGAATTTGGTATTGGATCTACTTATAATCCCCTTATTGATATTTTTCTTTTTTCTCATCACTTGTCTGTTTATTTTGTATTGATATTGTAAGGAGAAATTCTGTCTTGGTCACTTGTGGGAGTTAAGGGTTAACAAAACTCCAGCAAAAAGTCCTCTTCAAGTAATTAATATAATATATCCACTTTGGATATATTAAAGAAAGGGTCGGGAATGCTAGAAGAAAAAAATGTGCCCTTTGTGTTTCTTGTTATAAAAATGTTGTTGTTCATCGTGGTTTTAAAGATAAATGAGTGTTAAATCATCTGTCTCAAGATGTGAGAGTCAGGCTAATCAGTTGTGTTAAATAATGTGGTTTCAACTGCTAATCTTTATTAGGCAATGAGATTGAAAGTTTTTTCTCATTTCATGTAAAATGTAACTGTAACCAAAGGCTACTTACACTTTAAGTCCTGGGGAATCTTCAGTGTAAAATCTCCACATTCCACTACTACTGGCTGCTGATCGAGTTCTTGCTGCAGGGGCAGCACTTCCACCTTTCCTGTGATGAAATAAGACATTCTCTTTAGCAACAGCAATACCATTTTTTCATCTCTCTTTGAAGGAATTCTGATTTGGGAGAAATTAAATAGTCCCTAGACAATACATCAACTTGAAAATATATCCAGTTTTGTTGAGAGTAAGTAATTGTAGATCAATGGTGATTCTTTTTTATTCCCTGGTCTCTTTTTCAGAAAATTTTGCAATGAAGGTGAAATCTTTCTTACAGTGCCTTTAGCTGCTAAGAGCAATAAGCATATAATTTTCCCAACAGTACCATACTCAAATCAAAGATTATGTTCAAAAGAATGAAAGAAATGATTGAAAGTTCAAGCTCTTGATTATTAAGCACAGTCTCCTAGTGAGAACCTTAGTAAATGCAAAGAGGATGGTGAGGAGAAATACACAATCATGCTAAGGTATAATGTCATTATATTCTCAAAAGGGTCATTTTTTGATAGACGAAATACATTTTTTTGGTAGCAACATCTGTTTAACATTTTTTCACCTGGATCCGAGAGTAATTCCCCTTTAGGAGTACGTTCTTCACCCAGTATTGTCTGGTATTGTATATCTATGCGTTCTAAGCTTACGCGTACGTGTAACAACTAGAACAGCTTAAAACACAAATTACATATCCTATAAATTTGTATCGGGGACTACAATTCCGTTACTTTCAAGTGTAGAGCAAAGCACAAAACATTATCGTCTAAGGATTAAAGAACATGTAAAAGTTCACATCCTACCGAAACAACTCAACGGTTTGTACCGATACAAATCCCAACAAGAACTCATTGTAAACTCACGCAAAAAACATAACACGAAATATTAAGAAACGACAAAATAAGCCAGCAAAAGCAACAAATGTGGATCAAATTGCTTAGGGTTAGGCTTCCAAGAGAAGCTAAATAATACTTAAATACGTGGTTTTTAAAGAAGAAAGCAGTCTTGTCACCTTTGTTTTACTTGTGTTCCGCCAGACGAACGAGGGGTAACCGATTTTGAGCCGGATCTGCCCGATCCGACTGTCGTAGAAGAAGCTGATTGAACCTGTTGGTAAATAGGAGAAAATTATTCAGATAAAGTCTTTATGTCATGGATGTAACTTCCATAACTCCAGAATTTTTCTCGATTGAAATTCTACATCTCTCTCACCATGTTGATGACTCGTCTTTTAAGACAAAGAGGAAGCAGATGATTAACGTCACGATTTTCCCATAAGCCATTGCACTGAGACGAAGCTGGTATTGGTACCAAGCCCTCAATGGGATGACGGTTCCTCTGACCCAGTCCCATAAAGATTTATGGATGCTCTTCCGGTGTTTTTAAGCTTGATTTAATTTAAATAAATGTAGGCAAATGAAAGAAAAGAATGGAATTAAAAATGTTTCGAGAGCAGAAAACAAAAAATGTTTAAATTGATTTTAGTAAGTCCATTATGTTTACTGAATGGAGTAAAGTTTTTTTTGTTCCCTATACTGTTTACGTTTAGAACCTTTTAAAACGCCAAACCTCTGTTTGTTCTGTGAAGTTTGACGAAGCCAGTGCTGCAATGCATGCTGTGTTTATGCAGAGAATTGCTGTTTGGAGACAAAAAGAAGACGGCTTATGAATTTAATCTCCAGCGCCTTTTGTTGTCTTCAGAACTGGGCAGCTGGTTTCACGAAAAAAAAACCTAAATTATTCATCAACGTTGGTGTTGACCGTAAGATTATGGAAGCGGTCCGCGCAGGCGAAATAAGACGAGTGTTTCGGTCTAAATGTGAAATCCAAGTAAGTTATTTTGGCAAAGTTAAAAGGAGTCTTATCGCGGGCTTCGACCGCGCCTATTGGCCCGAGGTCAGCCAAAGAAATTGATGCACCGTGACTCTTTCATTTTACATCTGTTTCATTTTACATCTGTTTCTCACTTCAGCTCAAAATGCCAGCAAATCAAGCGACTCTTAGCAAGCTAGAAGCCGTCTTAGCCCGACTGGAATTAGTGGCAGATAAACTTGGCCTAGTTGAGTGTTCGATTAAAAAAGGAGGAACTGAAGCGGACATACAGGCTTTAGTGGAGCGTCTCGAAAACGTGGCAGGAAAACTCGAACAGCTAAAATCTGGAGCGAGCGGCGAAGGTGACTAAGGGGAAAGAGCTTTCATTTATTTTTTTAAAAGAAAAATAAAACAACCGAGTTTGTACTGAACTTATTCCTCCGTTCGGCAGGATCTGGAAAGATTGTTGAGTTCTACGATGAGGTAAAGCGAATATAGATGTTATTTTCTTTCATCGTCTGTTTACAGGCTTCTATGATTAATTTTCTCACGCAACGATGTTTATTTAATTTTATTTCTACCTCTCGTGTAGTTTCTCAAGGGGAAGATACAGGTCTTTTTCAAATTATCAAATGAAATAGGAGGCGATTTGCAGGCACAGGTAAGAGTGGATATTTAATTTTTCAAAACATGGTTGCGTGACTAAGATACGTACTAAACTCGTGTCGATTTCATTTTCAGGTGGATCTAGCCAAAAACACTTTTCAAGCACTGAGGGATTTTCTGATGAAAGCTTCTCAAACAAAAATACCTTCTAGAGTAAGGGAATCCTTTTAAAATTAACTGAAATTTAAACATTTAAGCGAACTTGAAAAGAAAAACAGCGCACAGATTTGCGTGGCATGGATCGGTGATATGATAATTTGCATTTCAGCTTTGAGAATGGCCAGTGCTTCTTGCGGTCACGATATGTCACGCAAAATACATGAGAAGGGCAACGACAAAATTTTTAAGAGTTTTTTCAAGCTGTAACGTAGAAAGTCAATATTACCTCAAATGACAGACATCGATTTGATTCTGTATCGACCTCTCGCCCGGTGGCTTTGTTGTCCTCCCCTTCTCTGTCAGGTGTGGAGCGATGAAGAAGGCAGCGTACGATCTAAAACGGGTAGTAGACGATTGGAGGGTAAAGAAAAACTAGAATTAAAAATTAATTCAGCCTCAGATTGGACCAAAAAGGAATTTCAACTAAAAATGTTAAAACAATTTAATTCTCAGAGTCAGAATTATAAAAGATGTATGACAGACAGTGCTAAGAATTGATCGTTCGATCTTGGCAGTAAAAGAATTTTACACATATATTTGTATATTTTACTTTGCAAATGTATTTGCTAATATTTTCCTTAGAATATTATTAATTTTCCTTTAATGACACGTGAATAAATATCTTGAATAGTTTGCTTATTTTTATTTCAGAATGAACTTGCCTCCATGGTTAAACCCATTGCTCAGTGTAGAGAGGAAGTGGAGGTATTTTTTTAATCATTTACGCGTTCATTTTCCTGTTTTATTTCCCTGGACGTTGCTTGCAATTTCCCTGGTTCATTTCTGAATCAGGGTGTCGGCTGAGATATGTCCGTCTTACCTCCCCTCCCCCCCCCCCCCACGCAATTTCGTGCGAAAGTCCCTGAAAATAAACCTCCGTTCGTTCCCAGAGCCCGGCTGACCTCTTTGTCTTGCCTTTTTTATCGCACAGACGATCTGACAAAAATTCAACTACTTCCGTATTCGAAACAGGAGTATGTCTTTTAAAGAGAACGTTTCAAGTTTTAAAAAAGTGAACCCAGGCTAGTTTAAAAAGTTGGTCATAGGAGTACAAGACCAGCACAGGAGAAGTCTCTCATGCAAAGGTCTACGAGTCCAGCCAGGATCAAACCTCATAGAGCAAAATAATCCGATTGTATTGGTTTTGCTTCACTTCGCTTGTGATTGGTCGTGCCACTCTCTCAACCAATCAGATGCAAACCTAAACCAATCACGACTTGGTCGCCCGCGTTTTCCCGCGCTTTGGTAGTGTGGTTGTTTTACATTGAGTTCTCATTGCCATTTAAGGATATCTTCCTTTTTTCTGATTTGTTGTTGTGATAACTTTGGTTTTGGTTTTACGACACTCGATCGAAAAGCGCTCTAGATGTTCAACTGATAGGCTTTGTATACGACACTCGATCGAAAAGCTCTCTAGATGTTCAACTGAAAGGCTTTACTTCTTCCAGGCTTTCCGTGACCGTAACCGTTCCAGCAAGCAGTTCAATCATCTGTCAGCGGTCAGTGAGGGAATGGATGCACTGTTATGGGTTGGAGCGGTAAGACTATGTTTACGTATGTCTACAGCGTTTTGATATAGCGCTTTTTGTTGAACAGTTACTGCGTGGAGGATGCAAATAAAGAGCCGTCAAGATGTTGCCCAGAAAGGGAACTGAAAGAATATGAGAGACAGTGCGCCTTTTGATACAAATCTATTTTTTTCCTCTCAAAGCCCGGAAAGCCAGATATTTTTGTGAGGGACAGAAAAGATGGAGCAGTTTTCTACACAAACCGAGTTTTGAAGGACTTCAAACAGTATGTATCGTAAAAATTGAAATTAGTCAGGAAGTTATTTAGAGGACAAATTGAAGATAGACTCCAAAATTAAGTGATCGTTTTTGTTTACAGAAATCCATTGCACACTGAATGGGCTCACAGTTTCATCGGCGCTTTGATTGAACTACAACAGTACTGCAAAGAGTTCCATCCGATGGGTGTCACGTGGGCGTCTTGACTGAGAGAAAGGAAAATACATATACTTTTAATGGCCGCCAGTTAATCTAAGAGAGACTGGGTAATGCACAAAAGATAGAGGCTCACTGGCGACTAAAAACAGGAGGATAAACCTCGAATGATAAAAAATGAATGAAAAATAGCAAAAAAATTTAATGGTATTTCTTGTTCTGTTTTGTTTTGCCTAAAAAAAAGAGTTTGTCGTTTAGCAAATACGAATAAGTGTACCTGCAACCACCGTGCCCAATTCCCCGCTTCTCGTCTGGACATATAGAGCCGCTTAGACCAAAGAAGCAGTGGTCACATCAAGGAACTTGGGTAGTTTTTCTTTTCTAGTCTGTGAATTTTTGCGGTAAAATTTTGAGACAACGGTAAGTCAGCCCAACTTGGATTGGGCGGAGCTAGGAGCCTATTTTAGGCGGAGTTGTGTTTTTGGTGAAGGAAAAAGCCAGCACTACACCAAGCTTGTCTCGCATAAAAATATGAATGAGTGATCGGCGTATATTTTCAATGGGCCACTGACCTCAACTTCACCTCAGTATATTAGATATTGTGATTATTCTAATAAACTGCGTTAAAAAATTGGCGATGGTTGCTAAAAACCCTCGCGTTTCTACATTTTTAACAATCCCCGTCAACCCTAATACCCAGCGTCCACAGAAACTGGGACGAGCGATAACCATGACGTCATCAGAGAAACAGATTTGCGATGAGATTAACTGCTCTCAACGAAAATTGACGTGACACAGTTTTTCCTCCGTGTCGCTCTCAACATGAATATAATTTGATCGCCTTGATGTTTGTTGTTCCCACAGAGATTATTTCATGGTACTAAACAGCCTATTTGATCATTTAATGAAAATGGCTAAAGTTATTGTAATAGTTTTAGACTCCAGAGTTAACCTGTTGTATCTTAATCAAAATAGCAAAGGAAGACATTGTTAAATTGAGTAATATGTGTTTGGTGTAAATCCTTCACATTCCTAACATTAGTATGAATATTCTCCAATCTCCAAACTGTTCTCTATACATTTCCTTTGGTACTGAAAAGGAGAATTTGTTTAACAATCAAGGGCTTAGATAGAATCAAGCTGTAGATAATTTCATTTACTCTCAAAATCCAAAGGCGGTACTCAAATGAAAAATTAGACACTAGCTACTTTTGGGGGTTAAATGTTAATTACAGTTGATAGCTGATACTACCTCAGGCTCTGATGAGAATTTTTTTAAAGTAAAGTTTTTGGGGACTAGTGTCCCTAATTTAGTAAAAATTAAACCATTGAACAAAAGTGCATGTGATGTTAATCAGTTGTTGCCTTGGTGAAGCAAATTTCATTCTTATGAAATTCTACAGTCAGACAGTAAGGCCTTGAAATATTTCAAGACTTAGTCTTTCTCATCATTAACCCTTAGCAGAATGCAAAAAATTCAAAATGTCCATACTTGACAATACAGTAAAATCTCAGTCACAAGCCCTTAGCTTAACCCTTCAACTCCCAAAAAAATCTGAAACAAAATCTGATTGTTAATTCTCCCCTCTAGCTGCTACACATTTTCCTGTCAATCAGTTATGAGAATTTAGAGTTAGATCAAGCTAATTACTTCTACATGGTAAGTCTGAGTATTCTCATGACCTGTTTGCAGGATAATGTATGGATATTATAGGGAGAAGTTCCATGTTAATCACTTCTGGGAGTTAAAGAGTTAAATGATATGGTACAGAGTTTTCTTTAGTTTATGATCATGGAAGGAAGCGAGTTGGGATATTTACATGATATGTCTTTAGGAGACATTGGCACCATCTCCCTTTTTTAGTTTCTGGAGTTTTCTTATCTCAAATATGTTTTTTTCATTATAAATGAAAATTTATAATAGAAAGCTCATTGCTACTCGCGAAAGAAGTTGCATAAAAATCCTGATTAAACAGCTAATGTAACAGGCATTTCTTGTTGTTAGAAATGACAAATGTAAGACATGAACAATTCCCCTCATTAAGCCTGGGTGCTTTTGGGGAAAACAATGAAAAATATGTTTAGATAAAGAAAAAAAGAATTATTATCCCTTGATATGCCTGCTGTCCTACTGGTGAGTGAGGGGGGAGGCTTGCTCTGTTGTTCAAATTCCTTTCACCCCCTCTTTTGGAATTTTCTGGTTTCATCCTAATAATAAAACAATTTTTAGTTGAGTGAGGTGCAATAGGGTATGGCAACCATGTTTGGACATTAAAAGGGTGTTGTTGTCAGGGGAAATTGACATCTTGTTTAACCTCTTTAAACAGGTTTTTACTTTTAACAGTTGGCAACTCACAGCTCTTGAGATTCGTTTACTGCTACAAATGAGGAATATTTCTTGTAACAACCTCATAATTTTAGGTTCAAAACTCCATCACCAAATTTTTACCACACAGCACCCAACTTATAATAGCAGTAATGAGCTTTCTGGTCTAGAAAATTTTTTGCCATCTTACAGGTTGCACCACTAAGTACAAAGAGAGCAAGAATCATTTTACAAGGAGACTGGGCACTATTCCCATTGATTGGAAGTGAGTCACAAACCAGTTCATGCAGCTGTTGATATGAAATGTTCTTTGCATCAAAATTGACCGTAGCTAAGAATGTCCCCGTAATGCAGCAAACACCTTGGATAAGATCCATAGTTTCCTTTCCTTCCTCATCAAAAGGGCCATTCTGCTCTTTCAAAAATGTATGGACCTTGCAAAAGAAAGAAAACAGTTTGTCATTTGTTCCTTTGGAAGTGAGGTCAACAGAAATCTTACCCAGCTCAAGCCACAACAACAAAGACTGATTCATTTGTGCTATGTCCATCTCAATGAAATCTTCTTGCACTAAAGTAACGTTGATCTTGGAAAGTTCGCTCTCAGTTATCCCCGGCAAAGCAAATTGGTGACCCTGTGCAAGAGCACCAACGTACACTTCGAGTAGGGCACCTCCATCTGGAGATACTTTGATAGAGATGGTAGTATCTTCCAAGGTCTCCCACAAACACTTTAGCTGTACATCTCCATGCCCTCCTAAATTCATGAAGGAGGGGAGGCCTATAATTTCCCTTTCTAATCTTCCTTTAACCTCCACTGTTAAAAACTCAAGACGAGGTATCAACCCCAGAAACGTCTTGTTTACAATCTTTCTAAACGCAACCAAAGGATCCTGAAAAAAGAGAGCAATTTCAGTCGCAGCTTCTTCAAGCGCAACCTTCGATGTTTTGTAACACAAATTGTGATTGCGGATGAAGAAATGAGGACAAAACCCGTCTTGAATAAATCGTAAGAGCTTCTTAAGAACTCGCAGCAATAGATTCAAGGTACTTTCCTCAGACCAAAGGCCGGGATCTTCTTCCTCGAGTGTCCAAAACATCACTGTTTTAAAGTGATAGGAAGTTAATACTCCTCCTAGTTTTTCCTTGAAGTGCCTCGCAAACAACGAACGTAGTAAGTAGTAAACTTTGGATTGCTCTTCTGTAAACCACTTGAAAAGTTCCGCTGCCGGGTTCGAGAACGAAAGTCGCCATTCCTTCCTGATGTCTCCTGAAAGGTCGGAAGGCTTTGGTACAATCATAAAGCCACTGGAGGTGATATTTTTCACCACATCAGCACTGGGCCAGTTTCTTGGCTGTCTAATTTTCCATTCGTCAGCAATTGTCGGCCATCCAGTGCACTCGATCGCTGGTACACGGTCGGACTCCGCAGATCCTTCCACAATATCCTTCGCTGGCGAACGAAAGGTGTAAGAAACCGAAATTTTGTTCTCAGCGCCCGCTAATGGAACAGTCCACTTAGCACTTGGCTTTTGGTCAGCCATAAACTCAGGAAGAAAGTCTCGCTCGTTAAGTTTTCTCGCAGTCTCAGCTGACACAAAGCAACAATCTTGTTCGGCTTCCACAAGACCAAGGAAGGTTGAAATTGTAGGGTATTTCTCTTCGAAGCGCTTCCTATAACCTGGAGGAATGATTAGCTTGACGTGGGCTGGCGCTTCACTAACAGGCTGCATAACTCTAATTTGAGTCTCCAAGGACCAGATCTCTGTAGAAGGGTTCAACATCACCATGACGTCGCCATCACTGAAAACAATATCCGGATACCCTTCTCGGAAGCTTCCTGTGAGGACATAGCGGAGTTCATCAGTCGAGTAATACTTATGTCTCAATTCATACTTCTGCCTTATAGATTCTACGTAACGTTTATAGACTGGAAAGCCATGGAATAACACACGAACTAGTGCTTCCAAATCAGCCATTATGTAATGCAGAGACTTAAACTCGAAAAAACAAATTAGCTCTTTAAGTAACAAGCCGATCGAGTCGCTCACAGCCGATTCTCGCAAACAAGGTTGGGTGGACTTCCTTTTACACAAATTGACGTAAAATGTTAAATTAAAGGTGGTACGTTTTACGTCATATGTAAGTGTAAGCGAACGAAAAAGTGTAAGAAACCGAAATTTATGTGATGTTTTTATTTTTACTGGGATACCTGTGGTAGCCCAGTCATAAAATGCCTTTGTTTTTTTGTAGTCTTTTTTCTTTTTTTTTTTTTTTTCCCCTCCGCCACAAAATGGAAAAATTGTGCAATAGTACCCAGAGGTCATTGGGCCCTCAACACCATGACAACTAACTGTGATCCAATGAGGTGTTCACATGCTGATCACGCGTGCTATCTTGATGATGATTGACGTTGTCATGCACGGACATCATTGTATGTGATGTTAATCAGTTGTTGCTTTAGTGAAGCAAATGTCAGTCTTATGAATTCTGCAGTTGGACAGTAAGGTGTGGAAATATTTCAAGACTCAATCTTTCTAATCATTAACCCTTGGAATGCAGAAAATTCAAAATGCCTGTACTTGACAACACAGTAAAATCTCAGTCACAAGCCCTTAGATTAACTCTTCAACTCCCAAAATCCAACAGTTAATTCTCCTCTCTAGCTGCTACACATGTCTTTGTAAATAAGGTATGAGAATTTGGTGTTATATCAAGCTAACAACTTCTACCTGATAAGTCTGAGTATTCTCATTACTTGTTTGCAGGATAATTTATGGATATTATAGGGAGAAGATCCATGTTAATCACTTCTGGGAGTTAAAGGGTTAAATGATATGGTACAGAGTTTCTTTCTGTTTATGATCATGGAAGGAAGAAAGTTGGGATATTTACATGATATGTCTTTAGGAGACATTGGCACCATCAGTCTCTTGTTTAGTTTTTGGAGCTTTCTTCTTTCAAATATGCTTTGTTCATTACAAATGAATATCTATAATAGAAAACTCATTGCTACTCACAAAAGAGGTTGCATGAAAATCCTGATTACACAGCTAATGTAACAGGCATTTCTTTCTATTAGAAATGACAAAAATATGACGGATAATGCCCCTTGTTAAGCCTGGGTGCTTTTGAGGAAAACAATGAAAAATAT